CTAGTTTTTTATTTTAAATTTTAGTAGTAAACTATTTAGTAGTATTTGATAATTAGATGGATAATCCAAACGTTTTTAATTTTTTAAATTTAATTTTCGAATTTTGTTTATAAAAATAAATAATTTTTTTGGATCAATTTTAAAACTTTCAGGCTAATTTTGTTTAAAAAATATTAGAGTATAACACAATCAAAAATAAAAATAAATTTACATATAAACAATTCAATTTAAACAAAAAGCCGGCAATTTTATATTAAATAAAATTGTTGATTTGATCAAACTAAAGTTAAATTTATTTATTAAATTCTTCTTAATTTCCTTTATTTAATCACCAGAGTAGACTAAATACTTGAGAATTTTCCCAATATCAATTGGTGAGCTAAAACTTTCCAACTGAAATTTACAATTTAAATCTATTAGAGTAAATTAAAAAGTTTCGTTCCAAATCGTTTCCAAAATTAGCTTCTACAAAACAACAAGTCAGAGCAACATATAATTATATGCCTTTACCTTCAAAATAAAATATTTATAATTCACTTTGAATTAAATATTTATAAATTTTTCCCCATTGGTAGGAATCGTTGACATTTAGTGATACATATTTCACTTTTTGAAAATGTAATAAAAAAAACTTTCTTGAAAATGGCTAATAATTAATAAAAAAAACTTTCAATTTTTGAGTTCTTGCATTTCTTGCGTTGATTTTTGGCTTGTGTTCTGTTATTTTTTAAAATTTTTAATAATTAAAATATATAGAATTTAAGAGAAAAATTTAATAATCAAAGTATTTATTTAAAACACAAAAAATTGGTTATTTTAATTGATAAATAGTAAATCAGAATCAAAACAAGTAAAATTTAAAAAATTAAATTCTCAATAAAATTCTTTAAGAATTAAATGTTCTGAAATGTTATATTTAAATGGTTTTAACACCAAATTATTTCCAAAATTTGCTTCAATTGAACAACTTTTCAGCCAAACATAAGGTTTATAAAAAGAGTCTAAATTTATTTTTACTAATGTAGCTTTACCTTTAAAAAACAATTTTATTCAAATAATTTTTAATTAAATATATACCAATTTGTTTTCCATTTTGAGTAAAGAAAACATAAGGAAATTTTTCATTTAATTTATTATTTGGAGGATAAACTAATCCACAACCATAAATATCATTATTATTGAAATCTGTCGAAAGTTTTTCACATTCATCGTCATAAATTGTATCATCATCTGCACAATACCAAATATAATTATATGTATTACAACCAATTTTAATCACAACTGCCTCCTTATAATTTTCAAATTTACATTTAACTTCAAAATAATGTAAAGAATAATTCAAGCAACGTTGTGGACTTTTAAATGAATTTTCTGCATAAACAATAACAAGTTGATCGTCATCTTAAAATATTTACACAAATTTAAAATTAAAAAATTTCAATTAATTTACCTCCCAACAAATATTTAATATTTTCATCATTGATAATATTTCCATATCCATTTCCTTTAATACAATTACCAATAGGTTTGCATGTAGTTATACAATTATGCTTACAACAAACAGTATCAATCTCACTCCATTTATTTTTAATGTTAACAAATATAACACAATTCAAATAAATAAATTTATTTAAATCACCAGTATTTTTGTCAATCAAAACATTTGCCTTTAATAAATAAAATAATATTTTTAATAAAAATCAGTGTAATTAGATTATATTGGACCCACTAAATAGATTTTGACATTGGAAATAAAATCAGTCTTCTCATTGCAGCTTTTCTACAAACATAAAAGAAACAGGAAATGGGATTTTTGTGAATATACAGTAGTGATGTTCGGGTATGCCGACCCCGACTCGGGAAAAGTTCCCGAGTTTTTGACCTCCCGACACCAACAACAAAAATGAGCTTGCTCCTTTCTATGGTTTTTGACACTCGAGCCGGAAAAATCTAATTATTTTTTGGGTGTGTCATAACGTAGTAGTATATCGGTATAATGCATCTCCGGGGGAAAACGTGGAGGGAGGGGGTGTTAATTTAGGGGGTGTTGCATAACGGAAAAGTATCGAAGGAAGCACAAATAATATACTAGTAGGATCTCGTATACTTACCTTTTTAATTTGTTCCTCCAAAGATTTAATATTCTCATATTTTTGTTTTAACGAATCATCGTTTCCATCTTTTAATTTTTTAGAATTTCCTTCAATTAATTGTAGTAATCTAAGTTTTAAATTTTTACTTTCATTTTCATGTTCAGTCTTGAGATTTTGAATTCCCTGAAAATATTTATTTTATTATATAATTTAACTAAAAGTTTAATGTCATTAGTTTAAAGAGAAGAGTCAGCGAATAGGCTCCTGTCCAGATTAAGTGTCTTTCCGCACCCTTGCGCATCCAATAAAGTTTACGCGACCAAACAAATCGTTTCGTTAAGTCAATTTTTGTGTTCAATCTATAGCAATAAGTACCCGAATTTGTATTAGAACAAAAGTTCGGTTAGTCGCGTGTGTACAATAACTCAGTGTGATTAGACATGCAGTACCGGGTACTTATAGCCATTAATTAGACCCATAAAAATTTGATTGGAAGCAGAAACGTTTTGTTGGACACATCAAAATTTGCTTGGATGAATGAGCTTTTCATTGGACGCAAAATCCGGGGTTCAAAATAGATAAATTCTAAGCTCAATTTTGGACGCAGCAATCGGTTACATACTGGCAGATCTCAAAAATAAAGAATAAGCTCTTTGGCTCATTTTTTCTAGGGACTAATGTTCTCCAAGATTTCTAAAATTTTTTAAAACGAAATTCAATCTCTAACGTTTATTCATATGAAGGTTTTGTTTGTAACAATTAATAAATTAATACATATAGAGGTATTTATTTAGGTTCCGTGACTTTTGCGCCGAGAACATTTGCGCCGCGACTTATGCGCCGCGACTTTTGCACCGCGACTTATGCGCCGAGCGACTTTTGCGCCGGGGGACTTTTGCGCCGCGACTTTTGCGCCGGGCGACGTTTGCGCCGCGACTTTTGCGCCGGACGACTTTTGCGCCGCCACTATCATTAATAATTATGAAAAACTACAGCCGGGCCTTACTATAGAAGATGTAGGATAGTTGGAGATCTTCGGATATCAAGATCCGGATCCGACCTAAAATTTTCGGTAATCGTGAAGAATTGGGGATACACTTTTAAAAACTTGAAAAATTATTATTTTTTTTCTGAAAATTACTATGCTGAAACGAATCCGTTAACAGATTTTTTCAAATATGACATTTTATCTATGATTTCATATCATGTACTTGATTTCCAGCTAAGATTCTGTTGGTCATAACTCTGTTCAGAATCATTCAATCAAGCTGATTTTGGTGTCATTCGACTCAGCTCGATGAGCTCTTTCGAATGAGCTATAAATTGTATAATCGAATTTTTTGACCCCAAAAATTTCCAAATCTGGGGGTCTGTAACTCGGCCAAATGAAGTCGGATTTCGTTGATTTTGGTGTTTTCCGATTCAGTTCGAGCTCTTTCGAAAGAGCTATAAATTTTATAATCGAATATTTTAACTCAAAATCGAAAAAGTTCTTGCATATTTAAAATCTATGGGTTTTCGATTTTTCGGGGGCCTATATCTCTGCGAGTTTTCGTCCCCGGCAAAAAGTTCTTGCATATTTAAAATCAGCATAGTCGATTACCTATATAAAATGATTTTCAGAAAAAAATAATGATTTTCAGGGTTTTTAAAAGTGTATCCCCAATTCTTCACGATTACCAAATTTTCGGCTATCCGGCCTTTCTCAGATCCGGATATCTGGACCCGACAACACACACTATAGTGCACCCTCTTCAGGCAGAAAATCATGTCTGAATAGGGGTAGCTGACCACATAACCTGATTTGAAAAAGTCAAGTTCTTTGAAGATGCCCCCTCTAGGGGGTCAGTTTATTTTTCACCTTCCTCTAGGGGGTCGGTTTATTAGAGGGGGCTATTGTACTTCCCGAAATATTGTGCTTCCTGAAATCCCTTCAGCTCCTGGATACCATTTTTTAAGGAGTAAACTATAATTAGGTCCGACTGTAGAAATATTATTTTTTTACAATTATGGCGGCGCAAATGTCGCGGCGCAAATGTTTCCAACGCAAAAATCGTGATACCTTTATTTACCTTTTTTATTTCATTCTCCAAAGAATAAATTTTCTCATCTTTTTCAGCATGTAATTTTTTATTGTCTTCGAATAATTGTTGAAAATTTTGTTTTAAATTTCTTATTTCTTTTTCATGTTGTTTTTGAAGCTTTAAATTGTTATTCTCCAGAGTTAAATCACTAATTTTCAATTTCAACTAAAAGATAAATTTATTAGATATAAATGAAGTCAGATTTGATTTGTAAGGTAGCTTCAAGCAGTAAAAATTGAATGATAAAAGGAAATTGTCGTAAAATTGAAACCGGTTTCTAGAAAATCAACAAAAAAATAATTTTTGGTGCTTTTCCGTTATCACTACGGACTTTTTTCCATTTTTCCCTTTTGGGGAGAAAAATATACATATACAGATTAAAGGTCAGCCATCCTTCGCCAATTTTGCCTAATCCCTGTCTTATTAAAACCAGCAAAGTTAAAAATAAAAGATTAATTTTCTTCTAACATTTGGATCAATGTTACCAAACTTATCTATTTAAGTCATTTATTGCCGTGTCAGGCTAAAACACGGAAACGACAATCGCAGAAACAATACAAAATGCGTTCACTGACCGTTTTTTGGTCGTTTCGTGTTCTAGTAAGTTAATGGAAGTCTTATTTCGGTTGATTTTGGGCCGAGAAAATTGCAAATTTATTTTTTTAATATTAGTAAACGTGAAAAAACTAGAAGAATGAATTTAGTCATGAATTTTGCCTAATCCCTGTTTTATTCAAACCAGATACATAGATCACTTCCTTATTTCTCCGCAAAAAGAAGTAAAAAAGTCAGCAAAAAGTCCGTAGGGATACCGAAAAAGTACCTAATTTTTAACCTCTAATTTCTCCAAACGTTGTTTTAAACTTTTAATTATATTTTGTGATGAGCAACAAGTACCACAAGTAGTAGACAGCCCAACAAAACTAGATGTTTCCAAACAACTGTTTTCTGTAAAATTTTCATAGTTTTCTACGAGTGTTTCATTTTCTAATTTATGTTTAATATTATTGGAATTTTTTGTAGAAAATGACCATTCTTCTAATTGTTTTGGCGTTCTCATCTCTATTTTTCTGAAAATTAATGAATGTACTTTATTATGTGCACCGGGATCGAAAATCGAAGTCTCTCGCGGTCTGAGTTCAAATATCTAAAAAAAATTTTGCCAAGGACGAAAATTTCTATGAAATCTCGAAAAACAAAAAAATTCTCGTATGAGAATCGATATCGATATCTAAAAATATCGATAACGGAAATTTTGATTGAGATCTCGTTTCGGTCCGATCTCTAGTTTTTAATATTAAAATACTCAAATTTGTTTAAATTTAGAAAACGAAGCATCTTAAAGCAAAAGTTGAAAAGATCGCGGAGAATATTAAGGGGATAAGAAGCAAAACTTCAAAAATTATCGATGTACGGACTTTCGTCTTCAAGACTTTTTGAAACTTTTCTCTCCAAATTATTCGGAATTTTCGTCTCCAGAGGAAAAATCGAATATAGCGCCTTTAAATCACCTGATATTCTCAAACGAAATTTAAATTTTATGGAAAAATGTAAATAAATAGAAAAATACTAAATTTATATACTTATGTATTTATATTTTAAGAGTTTTTTGCCCAAAGACTGCTTTGTTGTGTATTTGATGAGAAAAAGGAGAGGAAGAATTTTCTGAAGGAATATTTTAAATTAAAAAATGTTGAGAGACAATTAGGTGAAAAAATCTAGTGGAACTAGGGGTGAAAATAAATAGTGAAAACATTTTGCCTAAAATGTAAATAAAAATTAAATTTTTTTTATTTTTTTGGCATTTTTAAAAGGATTTATAAAATAGAAATTGGGAAACAAAGACCAAATAACAACGTCTAATCAAAATTCAGATAAGGGGTCAATCTGTATATCGAAGTCCTTTGTATCGTCACTAGCGATATTTTTTGTATCAATGACCCTATGTATCGAAAAGCATATGATCAACACCAAATTTTTAAATTTTACCAATTGATTAATTAACAGGGAGAGTGATCAGCTTTGGGAGAGTTTGGGGGAGTGAACAGGGAGAGTGATCAGCTTTGAAAGCTGATTTTTGGAATGAAAAATTAACTTTTATAAATGATCACAGGAATAGTATCAACTGATTAATAAAGGAGATAATCAATTGTACAATCGAGAGGGTAATAAAGAAGAATCAGCCGATTGCCTTATTTTCACTTTCTGGATCGATTTAAACAGATGAGGTGTCATTCGAAAGAGCTTTGAAAGCTGATTTTTGGGATGAAAAATTTACTTTTATAATGATAACTCAACCGACTCAGCTCAACAAGATGAGTCGGTTCGACAAAATAAGCCTCCCTACACCTTTTTCAATATTCAGGAGCTGTAGCTCGGATCCGAAATGTAGGATGAACTAGTTCGACACTAGTTCGACTCAGTTTTCAGAGCTCTTTCGAATGAACCTCATTTGTTCAAATCGATCCAGATACAAAAAACCTTGTATAAGTCATAATACAGCCGTTTAATTAAATTTTTAAAAAGGCAGCCTTACTGACGAAAAGGACTTCTGACGAAACTTATCTCTGACGAAACAACCCTCTGACGAAACTGTTCTCTGACGAAAAACGCCTCTGACGAAACTGATTCTGACGAAAATGTTAACTTCTAACGAGACTAACCTCTGACGAGATTACCGGATACGATTTTCACATAATAATATCTTCCGCCTCCAAAGGTTGCACGTTATGCAACCTTTGGGGAAGGGGGGTACTACCAGGGCTGTGCGTCATGGCGTTTGGCGTTTTGCGTTTTGGCGTTACTGTCGGTCATAAAAAAGTTCGCATTACGTAAAATTTTTTAGCCGTTCAAACGATATAAAACTTTAGGCATATATTTTTTAGAGTGCTTCCTAATATGTAGCTACCAAAATTTGAGAATTTTTTTTAAAATTAGAAAGAATTAAAATCTATATAAAGTCAGTCTAAGAAAATTAGTTAAAATGTCTAATAGAATTCATAAGTAATTATAGGTTTTGAAATATCGTATTTAAATGGTATTGTCTCCAAATTATTCCCAAAATTTGTTTCAACCGAACAATAACTCAATTGAACAAATGGTTTATATGAGTCATTCACTTCTATTTTTATACATTTACCTTTAAAAAATAAACTTTAAAAATTATTCTTATTTAATTTTACCAAAGTGTTCTCCATTTTTTGTGAAGAACATAAAAGGCTTTTCATAACTCATTTTTATTGTTGGAGGATAAATTAATCCACAACCAAAAATATAGTTATTTTTCAAAGAAAATATTGGAAGATGAATCTGGTCTATACAAGATAAATAAATTGAAGGAGCAGTTGTAGCACAATAACATAATTGTTCTGTGCGCATACTTTTAAGAACAATGTCTAGTTTAGTAGCCGTAGATAACTCTCCTTCAAGTTTACATTTAACTTCAAAATAATATAAAGAGTAATTTGAACGATTTCGTGGGCATTTGAAAGGATTTTCGGCATTAATATAAACATCTTTATTATAACCTAAAAAACTTTTGAAAATTAAAATGAATAATTTACAACCTCTCCTATTCAAACGTCTAATATATTTAATATTCTCATCATCAATTATATTAACATATCCATTTCCCTCAATACAATTACCAATAGGTTTGTTTGTGTTTATACAATTATTTTCACAACATTTTTCTTCACTATCAATTTCAGACAGTTTATTGTTAATTTTAATAAAATCCTTTAAAAATTATTTAATAATTTATTAAATTCTCATCTTTTATCTACTAACCACACAGGTATTTGATCTGATTAAATCATCAATTTTGTGATGTAATAGAGAATTCTCATCTTTTATCTATATAAATTGAAATTTTAAATTAATTTAAAACCTTTTTTATTATAATAAATTGTTAAGTATTTAAATTTCTTATTTCTTCCTTTAGCTAAAAAAAGTTGAAGCCATAATTTTGCCTCAACTCCTAAATAAAAACTAATTAGATACCTTTGTAATTTCTCCCTCCAAAAAATTAATTCTATTATCCTTTTCCTTTAAACTTTTATCATTATCAGCTTTTAATTTTGAAAATTTATCTTCAATTAATTTTTCAAAATATTTTTTAATTTCTGCAATTTCACTTTGATGATCAGAATTTATTTTTTGAATTTTCTAAAAATATTTAAAATAACTTCAAAAGAATAATCAAACTATATTTACATTCTCAAGCATAATATTCTTTTCTTCAATATTAAAAGTTTTATTAATTAAATTTATTTGATGATTGTTAAATTCTTTTTGAAGTCTTATAAAATCAGTTTTCTCTTTTTGAATCCGAATTAAATCAGAATTTGTTCCACTCATTTTAAAATTATTTTTTGAAGAGAGCCAAAATTTAAATTTTCAAAATTTATTTAATTTTAAATGAATGAATTTTATGTAAAAAATATTTTGTGAATTTCAGAAAATGAGGAATTTTAAAAACCTTTAAACCTTTAATAAAGTAATAAAAGTATAGACGGAGTATTAATTTTATAGAATATAATTTTTCTCAATTAAAATATAACTTTTATGGAGATTGTTTAAAAATAAATAAATGAATTGAAAAATATTGAATTTACCTAATACATACATATATGTGTATTTATTATTACATTAAATGGGTTGGTAATAATTCGTTTCCGGCCCCCCTTTTCTCCGTCCCAAGTTTTCAAAAAATAACCACTTTATTTTCTTTTCTTCCATCCCAATTGCCTCACTATATTTTTTCTACAGCCAAATAAAAAGGATTAATTTATTTAAAAAGATAAAAGTAGTGAGAAGAATCTTTCTTTGAAGTAAAATGGAACAACTGAAAAATTTTACACCTTTTGATTTATTTAAAGAATTACGTTTGAACGACGATTTGGATACATGGTACAATAAGCTTAAACTTCATGGAAAGGTATAAGACTTCTGCGCCTAGCAAATTTATGCTTGCGAAATGGTCAAATTTCCTGGATTTTTCAACAAAACATGATTTACAAATAAAAATTCTTTACACGGACTACCTTGACTTTTCCTAAATTACTTGCAGCATAAAGTTAATTTTTATTAAATTTAGATTTTAATTTTACAAAATGTCTGAAGGATCTACAAATTCTGATTTTGATTTAGTGGTAACAAAAATTAAGGTTAATTATTTAATTAAATATTTAAAGCGTTTTGTACAAATTAAAAATAAATGGTGTGAGATTAATGATTATTGTTGTGTTAATAAATGTTTAAATGAAATAAACACAAATAATATAAAATGTATTAAAGGAAATGGATTCGTTAAATTAATTGATGATGAGAATTGTAAATATCTTAATTGTTTAAAGGGGAAAGGTAAATAATTAGTTTTTATTAGAGTTGATCAAAACGAGACCGAAACCGATACCGAGATTCTCGGTCCATTTCTCGGCGAGAAACGATACTGACTCAAAGAAACAAAATTCTCAATATTGTCCAAGTTTTCGTCCATATTTTTTTTCGTATATCCGACCATAACAGAGAAAGCGAATTGTTTTCGAATAAGGTCTTCCAAAATTACAAATTTTCGCCTGCGGCGCTGAAAATTGGAAGAAATATTGTTGACTTGCACTTCTTCTGAAATCAATGGTTTGGTTAACCGAAATTTTTATTATAGCCATCCGCGGATATCCGCGGATGGATATGCCTCAAAAGTTGTACGGATATAAACGGATACGGATGTCGACCTCACGGATATACCTATTCGGATACGGACAAGGATGAAGGCTAACTGCTGATAGCCTTCATCCTTTGCTATGCCTCCAACTCACTCGACATCCGTCGACAATCCCATGGTATCTTTTTAAATTTAAGACTAAATAGTGAAAGTTCTTGAATAGTTGATAATTGAAAATTGTAATTGAAAAGTGAGAATTGAATAGTAAGACTAAAGTATAGTAAGACTAAGTATGAATAGTAAGACTAAATATGAGTTGTTTTTATTTTTAAGTTTTTGTAATGATTTGGACTTTGGCTAGCGGAACGGGCTCGCCCGAAGCCCCTTCCGATGAGGAAAATAATGAATAAATTATTTTCGCTGTTAAACCGCAAGATTTAAGGTATATACCTTTGGCCATATATTTACTTTTGCACTAGACTGTATGTATGTCAATATATTTTAGGTTTAATAAATATTTTTAGGTTTTAATAAATACGTTGAGGTTCATATTCAAAATAATTTTACTAAATGAAAAGATTGCATTAATTATTCTTTATTCTATTTCGAAATCAAAGCTAAACGGGAAGGAGATAATCCTGCTTACAACTGGATAACTATTGGTCTTGAAAATATCAATAAAGCTGTGATTAATTTGCTTCCAGTTTATGGAATAATTGAAAACGAAAGATGTGAAGTATTTAAACTAGAAGATTTTTGCTGGAATGATGAAGATATTTTCGGTTGTGGATTAGTTTATCCACCAACTGATAAATTATCTAAAAAGTTACCTTATATTTTCTTTACTCAAAATGGAAACCAAATTGGTTAGTAAAATTTTAGTCGAGAAGATATTAGTTATTTTTAAGGCAAAGCAGTATTATTGAAAGATAATTATGACACTTATGAGCAAGTTATTTGGATAAGATGTTGTTCTGTAGAAGCAAATTTTGGTAATAATTTGGAAACTAAGCCTTTTTGTTATGACATTACAAAACATTTTGTGATTAAAGAATTTTATGAAGACTCTGATGTTGATTGATTGGAAATGACGAGGAAAATCATTTATTGAATAAATTTGTTGTTTTTGAATAATTTTTTTATAAGAGTTTGCCGGATAAAGCATATACGTATTTTCTTTATATTATAAAAGCTATAGTAATAATGAAAAGTTTAGACCAATACGATTTTTGTTTAAATTAGAAAGATTTATAATTTTTAATAGAAAATGATATACCGTAAATTCTCTATTAGAATGGCCGTCTCTATTTGAATGGCCGTCTCTAATAGAATGGCCCCTTGGAGGATGATCGAAAAATAGAATGGCCGTCTCTATTTGAATGGCCTCTCTAATAGAATGGCCCCCCTTTTTATGATTGAATTTTTTCAAATATGAAAGGATAATTAATTTTAGGCGTTTCTTATAACTTTTTCTTACTATTCTATCAATTTTATTAGGGTTGAGTTCTTCAAATTATCTGGTTTGGGGTTTCAATTTTATTATGGTTGGCTTTTTTCGGACTTTTTATCGGGCCGGCCCGACCGTGTCTTTTTCGGCCTCGTTTTTATCGAGTCGGGCATAATAATGAATAAAATGCATTAAACTAAATTTATTTAATCATCATAATAGAAAGAGTTTAGCAAAGGTTTAGCCACCGGGCAGGATTCGAACCTGCGACCTCATGACAGTTATTACTAAGCGCTTTCGCTCACCATACATATACAGGGCTCACCGTCTACCACTGAGCTACCAGGGCATCGACTAATGCTTTCTCTTTTTCCTTTTTAGATCGTTTAACCCCCGCCTAAACGTTTTAAATCTCTTTGTGAATCATCCTTAAATAATCATCTTCAGTGCTTAATAGATTTATGTATATCAAACTCATATTTATTAAAACAAAAGCTTTTTTCTAAAAAGGAAACATATCGAACTTTAACCAAAATTTTCAAACCCTTATAACTTTTCGAAACGGGGTTCATGGCCAAAAAACTCGTATGACCCGACTAGAAAAAGTCAGGCCCGAAAGTAACTCAAAAGGCCCGACTTGATAAAAATAAGCCCGAAAAAATGCCTTGACCGTCGGTCGGCTCGAAAATTTTATAAAATTATAAACTTTTCTAGTGTAAAAAATTTTTAAATTACTATCGAAAAATAGAATGGCCGTCTCCATTTGAATGGCCGTCTCTAATAGAATGGCCCTTTGGAAGGTGATTGAAAAATAGAATGGCCGGCCATTCTATTAGAGAAAATACGGTATAAATACTGTCCTTTTAGATTTGACTTAAAACGTATCGGCATTGTACTTTTTGCAAAGTCACAAAATAAAGTTTGGTACATTTATTCAGAAATTGGACAATATTATAACCGTATATAACAGGGTAGCACCCCTAGCCTTTGGGTCGGGTGTCACAGAATTCGGACCTACAAGCTTTTCACCCTTTTTTCCAATTCAAATTTTTAATTAAATTTTTTCTTTCTTTAAATATTTTGATGATTATTTTATTTTCTCAATATGTATCCTCCTATATTTATTTTATGTTTTCTCAGGTTCTAAAAATCTGTTCCTTTTTCCACCTTTCTGTTATATTTTTGGTCGAAAAACCTCGTCTAAAAAACATTTTAATTTCTGTCTCTTGATATGTTTAAGGATTAAAACATTAATAGAATAGCCAAAATTATGATAAAAATACACTTATTTTATAAAACAAAAAATAATTTAACAAAAGAATACACAATATACTACTTGCAAATAAAAATGAAGGATTTAAACAATTTTTCAAAATTTATTCCCTCTTACATTCTTTCTATTGTTATTCTAATATAAACATTTGTAATTACAAATTTCACTTTTGGATTGTAAATATTGGCAATTTGATAGACTGAATCATTACAACTTTCAACAGTTTTTGCTAACTTTTTTAATTTAGATTTTGGGTAAAAAATGTGATATAAATTAATAACAGGCACCATTTTTGAACAGTCTTTAGATGTTGTTATATACTAAAATTTAAATTTATTTTTAATTTTAAAAATGTAATAGATAGTTTACTTCGATAATAAGATCACAAAGCTTTGTCAATCCAGGACATTCAAAATAAACTTTAGGAAATTTATTGCCTTCATTTGTTAAAATATTGAATAAAATATCCGCATATTGCTCTAAATTTTTGACATTAAACAAATCTAATTTAAGATTTGCTGAATTGGCCAAATGATTTAAAGTGAATTTCAAAAAATCATCAAATTTATTGTTTTTGAGTTGAACATTCGGCTCTTTTATGTTGAATTGAAGAGGAATTGTTTTGTCGTTATCAAATAATAAATTAATCATTTGTGGATTAAATATAATATATCGAAATCTTCCTTCTATAAAAGCACATTTAAAAAATTGTTCTAACCAAAATCGAATAATAATCATTTCTTCAATATTTTTTTGAATGTTTGGCAATTTTAAGTTAAAATTTGGCCTGAATAGACGAATGCTGAATTCTGTACATTCATTATAACGTTTAATATTGTGTAAAAACAAAGGAATTGATTTAGCTATCGCTGCTTCCCACTGAAAGATAAATGTAATTTAATTAATTTAAAATCAATTAAACACCTTTTCCAAAAGTTGATCATTCAAAATAAATTCAGAAGTTACAGATTCAGGTGCAATAATTCTAAAACCATATTTTTGGTCCTCGATCAAATTGTAATCTTTCTAAAATTAAATCGCGTTTACTTACAAAGAATAGATTTTGACAAAAGCCATTCGAAAGAGCTTAAACAACTTTAAACAGGGTTATGGTGCCTGATTTGTAACTTTATTACAATTTAACTCTTATTACAATCGTGTTTTTCATTGAGCATACTTGTTTTTTCGTTTGACTTTTGTCAAAATCTATTCCCGGCTGGTAAAATGTGCAGGAAAAACGAGCAAGTTAATAAGCATTTACTATGTAGAGTAAATCAAATTTCATTCGAGCCAATTCATTTTCATATTTATTAATTAAATTGAGCGAATAAAAGTTGATTTGTTTAAAAGAGAATAATTGGTTGAAATTAAGACATTTTAAAACATCAAATTGAACTTCAATTGGTAAAGAATAAAACATTTTTTTAATTATCTAAAAATGAAAAAAATTGAATTTATTTTATAAATCAGAATAAACGCAGGCTTATTGTAAAAAACAAAAAATAAAACAAAGAGAGTATTATGAGGAAATAATGAAAAATGTCGTCCACTGACGATAATAAATGTTTGGTAATATTGAAGAGTACAGACCCCATTTTTTCCTCCTTAATTTTCCCCATATATTTTTACAAAATGGTCAGACTTTTTCCTTTCTTCCATCCAATTTTCCTTTCTAATTTTTGCCTACAATCAAGCAAAAAGGATTATTTAATTTTATAAGTGAAAGTACATGCAAAAAACAAGTAAAAGGAGGCATTTTCTCAATTAAACGGGAAATAAACTATCAAAAATAATCCTTTTTGTTTGACTGTAGGCAAAATTAGAAAAGAAAATTGGGTCGAAGAAAGGAAAAAGTCTGACCAATTTGTAAAAATATATGGGGAAAATTAAGGAGGAAAAAATGGGGTCTGTACTCTTCAATATTACCAAATGTTTTAATACAATACTTGCTTTTATACATGACCACTTTACTTACAATTTTAGGAATAATTTTAACACTTTAGAGTTGGACACAAACGGATAACCGAACAGGAACCATTAACCGGCTGTTTTTAAGCAGTTAACCGGAAACGAAAACCTTTTATTTATATATTTAATAAGAAACTAATTAATCATGGAAGTGTGCGAACCCGCTACCCGATTTTAAGCGATTTTGTAGTCAGCGCTCCTATCCACTTAGCAAAATTTCAATTCCGCTATCTCCCTCTTTTGCCTACGCTAGTCCGCTGTGTGTCAATAAATAAGTGATTTTCCTGAAGGATATACTATTTTCCGAGCGTTTGCTTATTTGTTTTCTAAACGCATGTTTCTAATTTGGAATATATTTCTAATTAATTAATTTTTTAGTATTAATGATAACTTTTTTATCAGTAAATTGATAAAAGCAATTAAAAAAATAAAATTAATCAAAAAAATTTTAATACATTTCTTTATGAACAGAATGTTTAGTAATATCATATTTAAACGGTTTTGACTCCAAATCATCTCCAAAATTTGTTTCAATAGAACAACAGTTGAGGTAAACACGTGGTTTGTATGAGTAGAAATTGTCTTCCAATAAAACACCTTTGCCTTTAAAAAAATAAAAATTTTTGTAAAAATTTTTCATTAAATAATTTTTTATGATTCCCTTATTTTCCCCTTTCCCCTAAAAATTATAAAATGGCCAAAGATAACTATTCCAATACTCTCAGGATTTATTCCCAGCTAGAAGTATGTACATATATTCAAATGGCTCAGTAGTTAATCCTTTAATTTAACTGCTCCGGCCTTTTTAATTAAATATTTACCAATCTGTTTCCCGTTTAATGTAAAAAACATATAGGGAAATTCTTCTTCCTCATCTAACTTAGTAGTTGGTGGATAAACCAATCCACAACCAAAAACATCGTTATTATTCAAAGCAAGTATTTGTTCAAGTTTAAAGGATTCTTTATTTTCATTAATAATTTCCGCTTCCTTCGTTTGAAATCTAATCCAATTAAAAGTACTTAAATTTTTAAGTCCGAAAACCATCCATTTCCCATCTTTATTTAAACTTCCTTCAAAAACTATACATTTAATTTCATAATAATATAACAAATAATTGAGACAATTTTTTGGTTTTTTGAATGGATTCTCTGCCGAAATTGAAACAAACTTATCATATCCTAAAAATGTTTGCAAAGAAATTAGAAGCCAAGAAATTAATAATCAAAAGAAATGGATTTAAAAATCCAAGTAATACTTGGCTTGATTCACTCTTTTTCCCTTTCCATTTTTCTTTTTCTCTTATTATGTCAAATAATGTCATTCAAAAGAGCTCTTCGAGTTGAGTCGAATGACATTAAAATCTGTGAAATCTGACTTAAATTAACAAAGTTATGACAATTTGTTTTAATCCCGTTCAGCTTAAAGCTTTTCCATCGAGGATTCGGCTTCCCAATTTTCTTCAGAAACATCAAATCTAACCGATTTTAGTAGCATTCAACCCAGTATGATGAGCTCTTTCAAATCATAATAAGTTGACCATAAATAAAAAGCTAGAGGGATAGGAAAAAAGGCGCGACAACTAAAGATAGTTCGTACTGACTCTCGAAGGAATTAATCGGTATTCGTATCGCATTCATATATTATACTGAATATAATTCTTAATATATAACTCGATATCTCTTAATCCACCCAAATTGCATGATTAAATATTAACCATTGATTTTTACCAGGTATCCGAAACCAACATATAGCGGCTCTGAAAATCCCCATTTTCAGAGACGGAACAATGATTTTGAAATGGAACTTGAGCTCAATTTAAAAAGGGCGGAGCAAAGCCTCACCAAAAAATGTAAATTATTTTCTTATTTTTTCCAATTTTCTTTTATCTACTCTAGATTTAAGATTTTCGAAGATTTTTTTCGATGCGAGACAGCTCTAATGACAACCAAAGTATTACCCAAATCCATTTTTTAAATAAAATTACCAATAGGTTTGTTTGTATTTAAACAATTATTGTCACAAAATTTGTATCCACTATTAATTTCTTTCCATCTATTTTCAATTTTGACAAAATACTTTTAAAAAATTATTTAATAATTTTATTTAAACATGAACTAACCACAGGTTTAAAAAAAGAATTGCGCACTTCAATAGTTAAATCACCAGATTTATTACATAAATTATTTCCCTTTGTATATACATAAAAATTAGATTAATTTATAAAAAATATTTTCCATTAAAAAATTTATTAAAATTCAATTATGTTAAATTAAAATTAATGTTGTAACACTAACGCTCAGAGGCGGGTATATAGGCGGATACGGATCCAAAAAAGCGGATATCGAGAAAATATTTTGTACTAATAAAAATCGGATTAGGTATCTAATATTTCACAAAACCCGCCAAACCTAGTAGCAGTATAAAACCTTTTAATTTGAAATGTTTTTTTGGAGAAAAGAATTTTTAATCATGTATTTAAAGTAGATTTTAAGTCGGTTTTTTAATTTATTAAAAATAATTTCCGGGCTCCAACAGGATTTACATCGATTCCAAACCAGAGTCCAAATTTTTTCGGGTTTGTAAAAAAATTTAGTCAAAATTACCGTAATTTAAATAACTTAATGAAATCAAATATTATTTAAGCAAATCCTTCATTAGATTATTGTTTTTTAATCATGTATTTACCTTTTTAGCTTTTACCTCCAAAATATTAATTTTCTCGTCTTTTTGATTATTTTTAGCTTGTAATTGCAAAATATTTTGTTCTAATGATTTAATTTTCTCTTCATATTCTAATTGTATAACTCTAATTTTATTTTCATTGTCAGAATTTATTTTTTGATTTTTCTAGAAATAGAAAAAATTAAAAAATTTAAGTAACAGAATAAACCCCATATCGACACACTATATCAATACCCTTGTATATCGAAATAGGAACCCTTATTCCAATAACTGGAAACGTTGTTCCAAAAACGGAGAAGATTGGCCTCCGTTTTAGGTACACAAGTTTCCCTCGATGGAACTGTTGTTGGATATTTCCTGATCTACGTGATCCAGACATATCCACCTTCGCCTACATTGTCATTTCTGCATAGGATAAAATGTTATTTTTGTGCTCATCGACTCGAGAAAAGCTTAGACAACCTTCTGACATAACAGGAACAAAGTTTCCCGTCATTGGAATAACGTTAACCGTTGTAGAAACAAACTTTCCCACTACTGAAAGTAGTGGGAAACTACACTACTGAAAGTAGTTCCCACTACTGAAAGTAGTAGTTAAATAACAAAGGTTTGCAGCTTCTCTTATCTTTCACTTTTTAAATCCGTTCAGTAAATTCCCAGTATTTAAAATATAGCGAATCGACATAAATAAAATAAAGGGTTTCGATATACGGGGTGTGACCCTAAATAAACAAATAAATAAACAAACTTTTTTAATTTCACTCAATTCATTTTCTAAAGACTGATTTTTCTTTTCAAGATTAACATTCTTTTTCTTCTCTTCAAAAAATTTTGTTTGAAGATTGTTAAAATTAGTTTGATGATTTATTAAATCATTGATTATTTTCCCAACCAAATCTGATGCTCCTTCTTCAGTCATTTTGTAACAAAATTTAAAAAGTACACTTTGGCAATTTAAATCGAAGAAAAGAAAAATATCGTTAAAATGAAAGAAACTTATTAAATAATCTTTTATTAAATAAAATTATTTTAATTTAAATGTTAAATTTACAAAAAAATCCTTTTTTTAACAAAATTTAAATTTTATGGTGTTAGAAAATTTAATCAAATAAAAAAATATATGTATAAATTAAGATATTTATATACTGAAGGATTTTTCGCCTTGAAAAATTTTTTTGAACAAATGTAGCATAAATGATGAGAAAAAGTGTAAGGGAATATTATAAATTTGAAATAAAAAAATGTTTTTAAGGCATCTATAATTAAAAAGTAAGAAAATTAAAAACTAAAATGACTAAATTGGTTTAATAATATTTGCCTAAAATGTAAATAATAGAATTAAAATTTTTCCCAAATTATTGGAAATAAAATATACTTTTTTCCCAATGTATTTTCCTTTATATTAGAGTTGCACCCCGACCCGGTTCCCGAAAGATTTTTTTAATTTTTTCCCAGCCCAACCCCCCCCCCCCGAAACAATTAGAAAACCCGTTACACGACACCGCCCCCGAGCGTTCATGGTGTAATCCTGGCTAAAAATAAGGAAATGAGAACAAATTTCTTTCTGTTCCAAAAGATTTAGGGCTTCACAGTAATTTTGAATTCTATAGACCCAATTTTCATTACTTTCCTAGCTTTTGAAAATTAATTAATACTTCTTAAATTACTTCAATGGATTTGCCAAAAAAGAATTCCTCGAACTTTTTAGAAACATTTAATTAATTATTTCTAAATTAATCTTTTTTAAAGATAATTGATGATTTTAATGACAATTAAAATATCAACTTCCATTTTTTCTTTTTGTTGTTTATATTCAACCAAAAACAACAATTTAGACGTTTATAATCAAAATCTTTTTTAATTGCCAACTTTGAATTTGATTGTTGGGAATCTTTTTGAATTTGCTTTGCTTAAAAGTTTTGATAGTCTTTTTGATGCAAAACAAATGTAATATTCTGAATGTTATTTTTGACAGCTCGAGTTTTGAAAACGAAAATTAATTAAATAAGAAATATAATTATCCCTCAAAACATTTTTATTTATTTTAAATTTAAAATATTCCCTCAACAAATAAAAATTAATCCTTTTCTACCTCTTTTTTCTCAAAGTATGTAAATTTACACTAAAACAGTTTTGGGCAAAAAATCCTTCAATATATAAATAGTAGAGATGTGCGAGACCGAAATTTTTCCAAGACTCAAGACTCAAGACCCAAGACAAAATTTTTTCCAAGACCAAGACTCAAGACCAAGACCAAAACTCCAAGACTCAAGACCAAAAATCAAGACCAAATTTTTAAATCCCATAGGTCAAATTTTTGGTTTATTTTTTGTTATTTTGATACGATCACAGTCAACTTCAGCACAATTATCTATAATTTCGAAAAATTTATGCGAAATTTAAAGAATTTCGGGGAATTTATTCGTGTGAAAATCAATAAAATAGGTTAATATTTCAGAGGGTTTGGGTGGATTAACGGGATATTAGTGATATCAAAAGATTAAGAGGGATAGCCTTGGGATTTAGCGCCGCAGGCGAAAATTTTGGGAATTATGAAAACAAAGAAGCCAAAAATCTTCCTTTTCCTGCGCCGCAGGCAAAAATTTTGAAAATTTTGGAAGGCCGTAGGCCAAAAAAATTCACATTTTCAGCGCCGCAGGCGAAAATTTTTTTGAATTTTGGAGCTCAAGAAGCCAGATTTCTTCCATTTTCTGCGCCGCAGGCGAAAATTTTGAGGATTTTGGATGGCCAAGCACTAGGTCCAAAAAGGCCAAAAAACCAAGACCAAAAAATAAAACCAAGACAAGACCAAGACAAACACCCCAAGACCAAGACCAAGACCAAGACCGAAAAAAAACCAAGAAAAGTCTTGGTTCCAAGACCAAGACCAAGAGTCTCGCACATCTCTAATAAATAGTACATATTTATTTTGGCTGTACTTTAGCCGGTGGCCCACTCAGAAACGGGTCAAATTATATACCATTCGATTCGTCTCGGCGAGCTGAGTCGAATGGTACCACTCATTTTTTGCGGAAATTCCTACGAGCCGAGATATAGGTACTTAAAAACCGAAAAACCATAGGGGGGACCAAGCACTTTTTTGTGGTGAAAAATTCGAATATGCAAATAATAGTTCATTCGAAAGAGCTCGTCGAGCTGAGTCGAATGACACCAAAATCAACGAAATCCGAGTTAATTTGACAAAGTTATGTGCATTTGTTTTAGCTCCTTACCTTTGGTCTACGTGCAGGTTTTTCTTGCTGGGGAGGAAGCCAGACATGCCGACCGCAGCTAAAATAGGCATAAGTTTATGTTACGAGCCCAGACCCAGCGCCCGTAGACTCCCCGCGAGGCGCGTGCCGCAAAACTCCGCGCGAAGCGCGGAGTTTTGCACAAGCGCCTCGCCGACGCCCCATAGGTTTATGTTGCTAGTTTTTTGTGTTGTAACTTTGTCTAAACTTGTTTAATCTCGATGATTTTGGTGTCATTCGACTCAGCTCGTCGAGCTCTTTCGAATGAGCTATTATATGGTTAAAAAATTTTTAATTCTAATAATCGCCCCTTTGGATCTTCGGTTTTTAGGGGTCTATATCTCGGTCCAATCAAGTCGGATTTCGTTAATTTTGGTGTCATTTGACTCAGCTCGAGGAGCTCTTTCGAATGAGCTATCAATCAAAAAATCGAATTTTTCACCCTAAAATTTAGCTTACTCCCCCCTATGGTTTTTCGATTTTCAGGGACCTATATCTCGGCTTGTAGGCATTTCCGATTTTCACCCTAAAATTTAGCTTACTCCCCCCTATGGTTTTTCGATTTTCAGGGACCTATATCTCGGCTTGTAGGCATTTCCGATTTTCACCCTAAAATTTAGCTTACTCCCCCCTATGGTTTTTCGATTTTCAGGGACCTATATCTCGGCTTGTAGGCATTTCCGATAAAAAAGAATGGTACCATTCGACTCAGCTCGCCGAGACGAATCGAATGGTATACATATCGAGGGGTTTCTGAGTGGGCCACCGGCTAAAGTATATCCTTTATTTTAATATTTTTTATTTAAATACTTTGTATAATTAAAAGTAAGTTTAAACCTCTCCATAAAACTTTTTGGTCATGAAAATTAATTATTTTTTAATAAATTAATTAACATTTAATATTTAAACTAATGACATTTTAAGTTAATCAACATTTTAATTAATTTATTCTATAAAATAAGCATTGCGTTTATTTTTTCAATTCGTTTTTAGAAAGATCTTTTTAAAATAATTTTTTAAGCTTATCATTCTTTTAAAAGACAAAAAATATTATTCACGTAAAATTCTCTTCAATTTAGATTTATTTTAACAAATTTAGAATATTTAAATTTCGTTTTTCAATTAAACTTAAAAATTTAAAATGTCTGAAGAGGGATTTTCAAATTCTGATTTGGAATTAAAAGTAAATTTTAAAAAAATAAAAAAATAAATTAATTATTTAAGCTATATGACCAAAGCAATGATTTAATTAATCTTCAAAGTAACTTTAATGATCTTCAAATAAAATTTACTGATGAGAAGGAAAAAAGTTTTAGTCTTGAAGAAAAAAATTTATTCCTTGAAAATGAATTGAAGGTAATGGATAAAGTTTGGGTATTTTCCTTAGATAATTTTAGAAAGTTCAAAATATAAATTTTGAGAATGTGAATAAAATTGAAGAAATGAATCTTAATTTTCAAAAATTAATTGAAGAAAATGGTGTTTGTTTGAAGCAAAAAAATAAAAAAATTAATTGTTTGGAAGGGGAAATGAAGAAGGTAATTAATTTAGTTTTTACTAAAAATTAATTTAAAATTAAACTAACAAGACTGAAGCTAATATTTAAATATAGTTTTAATTTTAAAGTTAATTAAAATTTCATTTATTTAATAAAGGTAAATGAATTACTTGAGAAAAAGAATGGGGATTTATGTAATTAGTTTGAATAATTTGATTTTTAAACGTGCGGTTAGTTTGTAATTAAATATAAAAATTAAATAATTTTTTTAAAGAATTTTGTTGGAATTAAAAATAAATGGAAAGAAATTGGAATTAAATGTTGTTTCAATTATTGTATAAATACAAATAAAGCTATTGGTAATTGTATTAAAGGATATGGATTTGGAAATATAATTAATGATGAAAATATTAAATATATTAATTGTTTGAAAAAGAAAGGAGGTAAATTACTTTTAAATTTTTTAAATTTTTACGAAATTAATTTTAGTCTTCAATAAAGTTATGAAAATTTATGCAGAAAATTCATTCAAAAAACCTAAAGATTGTCTCAATTATTCTTTATATTATTTTGAAATTAAATGTATATTTGAAGTGGATTTAAATGATTATAGATCGATGAGTATTGGTCTAAAAAATTGTACAAGTGATTGGATTAGATTTTCTGCCAAGTATGCTACAATATATAACGATAAAGATGAGGAATTTAAACTATCATCTTTTACTTGGAATGATAATGATATTTTTGGTTGTGGATTAGTTTATCCTCCAACTAATAAAATGAATTATAAATTTCCTTATGTATTCTTTACACAAAATGGACAACAAATTGGTAAATAATTTAAAAATTATTTAACAAGAATTTATTTTTTAAAGGTAAGGGTAATTTATTAAAGGAGAATACTGACTCATACAAACCATATGTTGCTTTGACTTGTTATTCAATTGAAGCAAATTTTGGAAATGATTTGGAAACCAAGCCGTTTATTTATGACATCTCAAAACATTTAATTCTTAAAGAATTTTATTGAAAATTTAAATTGTTTTTTTTTAATTTTACTCATTTTGATTCTTATATATTTTTTCAATGTATTGAAGATATGGATTTGATTAAAATAACCAATTTTTTAAGTTTTAAATAAATATTCTTTTTTTATTAAATTATTGCTCTATAAATTTCATATTATTAAAAATTTAAAAAAATAAACGAGGCCAAAAATCAACGCAAAAAGTAAAAATGGGAAAATTTTATTTCATAAATTATTAACCATTTACCAATTAAATACTAAAGTATTCCTAACTTTTAGCGATTCCTACTCAATTTTGGGATATAAGGGTTAATGATTGAACGAGGAAGAAAGTTTAACCATTATGTAACTAAAATCAACAATACTACGTAGTTTTAAAAGTAATTTGGCTGCACAAAATCCAGTGGTATTAGTAGAGCTCGAACTTTTCAATTTGTCGGGCCCGGTATCCGGGTTTTTTTTCTTCCAAGTTTTAGATCACAAATTAATATTGTGAAAATTCTGAAGTATTTATTATTCTCTGCCGATTAAATAAAGTAAATTAAGAATTTATAAGTAAATTTAACATTAGTCAACTCAGCTCGACTGGGGTGGACTCAATTAAAGAAAGGTCAAGCTTTATTGTGGTTAATTTCTCTTTATATAAAATGTTTTATTAAACAAAGACTCTGACCTACATATTTTTATATTAAAATGAGAATTTGAGGAAGTAGCAATTATATTTAATTCTTTTCGGCTTCAGTGCAGTAGCTAATACCGAGTTCTGGCTTTTATTCGGGTAATAGAACTCGCAGATGAGGGAGTATTCATCCAATGATTCCAAGATGAGGGTTCTGGGTAATGGAACACGCAGCTGCAAGTAGAATTTGTATTTTGTGTTAATCTTACCCACAGCTCTTTAAAAATTTTTTTTAAATCCGAATTCGACTTAAAAATTCGAACTTAAATATTTTTTTGATAGATTAGAATATGCTCTATTTTTTGATACGATTTTTAAGCATTTTTGTTTTTTAATAAATTTACTGTAATCTCTCAATTAAAGTGCCCATTTTTGATAGAAAAAGAGGAGTGCCGGAATTTTCGTCTCTGGAAATTTCGTCTCCAAGACTTTTCGGAACTTTCGTCTCCAACATTTTCGGAATTTTCGTCTCCAGCGGAATATTCGTCTCCAAGGAAATAAACGGAATATTCGTCTCCACAATTTTCGTCTCCGCTAGGAATTTTCGTCTCCAGAGGAAAATTTACCCGTTGACGGAACAGCCTCCCCCGCTGACGGAACAACATCCCCCGTCGACGGGGAAGTTGTTCCGTCGACGGGGGATAGTCCTCGTCAACAGGGGATAGTGTTCCATCAACGGGGGAAGTTGTTCCGTCGACGAGGGATAGTCCTCGTCAACGGGGGATAGTCAGCGGGGGAAGTTGTTCCGTCGACGGGGGATAGTCAGCGGGGGAAGTTGTTCCGTCGACGGGTAAATTTTCCTCTGGAGACGAAAATTCCTAGCGGAGACGAAAATTGTGGAGACGAATATTCCGTTTATTTCCTTGGAGACGAATATTCCGCCGGAGATGAAAATTCCGAAAATGTTGGAGACGAAAGTTCCGAAAAGTCTTGGAGACGAAAAAATTCCGTACACCGAAAAAGAGACGCTTTGTCTCCAATACGGATTTTTTATTTGTTATTTCTTGATTAGTTCAATATCATCTTTTAGATTTTATTAGAGTTCAGCGGTATCGGGATTTAGAGAAAAACCCGGGATCGGGATTTAGGGATAGTCATCCCGATCCCGATCCCGACACGGGATCGGGATTAGCCGAAATCGGGATCGGGATTTAGACTGGAGATCCCGATCCCGAATCGGGACCGGGATTGAAAAATCGGGATCGGGATTTACTAAAAATTTTTTTAAAAATTTTTATTTTCTTCACATACGACTCAGTATAATTCTAAAATTGCCGCTGCGGTGCTGAAATATAGAGTTTAAGTCTCATAAACACATAATTTACTTTCCGGTTGGGGATTATGGGGAGATAAGGGGATTAAGGGAGATAATGTAGGGGATTAGAGGAGATAAGGTAATGCGGGGGGATAAATGGGATTGGGCTTCTATTTTAAGCGCCGTAGGCTAAAATTTTGAAAAATTTGGAAGGCCAAGGTGCCAGATTTCCTCCCTTTTAAGCGTCGCAGGCAACATTTTTTAATTTTGGAAGGCCAAGGGCATTCATTTAGCAATATCTCTTAAGCCCTCGATTTCTCTTCAAATCTAACTCAATCCCTGTAAATCCACCGATACTCCTCTCAATCCCTCTTGATCCCTCGATATCACACCAAATCACTCAATATTTCATTAAAGTTGTAAAGACAGCTTTGTTCATTTTTGCGGCGCCGCAGACGAAAATTTTGAGATTTTGGATGTCAACATGCCAAATTTTTTCCATTTTCTGCGCCGCAGGCGAAAATTTTTCTTACTTTCATGCCTCCCCTCTTTTGTTAACTTTATTTCACAGACTTCTAGTCAATTTATAAAGTCGGGATTTGCATCGGGATCTGATGCACATCCCGATCCCGGATCCCGGCTCGGGATTGAGAATGACCGGGATCGGGATATTTATTTCGGGACCGGGATCAGAAAAATCGGGATCGGGATTCGAAAAACCCGGGATAATCCCGCCCGATCCCGACCGGGATCCCGATTCCGCTGAACTCTAGATTTTATAACTCCTAGAGCATTTTATACCGCCCCAGAAGATTAAAAAGGAATATGAGAACACCAAAGCAATTAGAAGAATGGTCATTTTCTACAAACAATTCTGATAATATTAAAGATGAAACACTTGTAGAAGAAGAAAATTTCAAGCAAAAGGATTATAATTTGGAAACATCAAGTATTGATGGATTGTCAAATTTTTGTGGTTCTTGTTGCTCATCAAAAAATATAAGTAAAAGTTTAAAACAACGTATGGAGAAATTAAAGGTAAAATTTTTTTTTGCTGAGATGCTGATTTCACTAATACGACACTTAATTTATCATCCAGTTTTTTATGCACGAAGTTGTCGTATAGTGAGATTCGAATTAATTTAAAAATAAATTTAGTATATTTAAGTTGGAATCGGAAATTAGTAATTTAAAACTTCAAAAGGCAAGTTTTTTCTTTTGAATTCTTGTCTAAGAGAATTTATAATTAATTTTAGGAAATCCGACAAATAAATTCAGAACATGAAAATGAAATTAGAAATTTAAAACAGAATTTTCAACAATTAATTGAAGAAAAAATAAAACAATTAAAAGAAGAAAATGATAGAAAATTAATTCTTTAGAAGAACAAATTAAAAAGGCAAACAATTACATAACTAGATTAGTATTCTTAATATAATTTATCATTTTGTTTTTTAGGAAAAGGAAAACAATGAAAAAAAATTTGCCGAGTATAGTATAGATAAGAATGAAATTGAAATTTTAAAGAAGAAAATGAATGAGGTTGTAAGGAATTTTATAATTATTTAAAATTGAAAATTTTTTTAAGAATTTTTATTAAAAAATGCTAAATATATATAGGGAGATTATACTAACCTTTGAAATTAAATTTCACAATATATGCATATCAGTGATAAGGAAAAAAGCAGGGTATAATGAAAAAAGAGTGTAGGATTTCTGATAGAATTTTCGAAAATTTCTTGGATCAGGCGTAATCTTCTCTTATGATGTATGATGGAAATTATTAATTTGAAATTATTTAGCAAATATCAGATAAAGTTAGCAAATTTAAATAAATTTTCAAAAGATTAAAATTTATTTTAAAACTTATTTGACCCTCGACCTCGATACTCGCTTTTTCAGTCTCGGTGATCCTCGGTCTCGTTTTTTTCGAAAAACCTCGACCTAGCGAAACCCTAATATGTATGTAATATAAATTAGGTGTTTGGAAATATTTTTAATTAAAATTTAATTTATAAAAAAGGCAAATGATTTATTTGAGCAAAAATTTGGTGATTTAATAAAATTAAATAACTTCAATTGTGTGGTTAGCTTATCGAATTGTATATTATTTACTAAAATTAAAAATAAATGGAGTGAATTTGAAAGTACATATAATTAAATGTTGTGACAATAATTGTATAAATACAAACAAGCCTAATTGTATTAAAGGACATGGATATGTAAAATTGATCAACGATGAAAATATTAAATACATAGAGGAGAAAGGAGGTAAATTACTGAAATTTTTGAATTTTAATTTTTGTTAATACATAAATTGGTGGGTCGCGATTCCGATTTCCGACGTTTTTTTCATTCAATTTCCGAAAAAAATTTTGATTTCCGAGTTCCGACTTTTGAGCCAGTTCTGATTTCCGACACCTCTAACTGTTCCGACCCAACTCTGATACATACATATTTATACATAATATACATATTTTATTTTTAGGTCGTAATATATTTGTTTATGTTTATGCAGAAACTCCATTCAAAAAACTACAAAATTTTTTAAATTATTCTTTATATTACTTTGAAATTAAATTTAAATTTGAAGGAAAGTTAAATATTTGTGTAAATGGGATGAGTTTTGGGCTTAAAAATTGTAATACAAATAAATACATTAGTTATGCTGCAAAGGAAGCTATAATCAAAAACGAAAATGAATTATTTAAACTTTCAACAATTTTCAGTAATAATGATATTTTTGGTTGCGGATTAGTTTATCCACCAACTAATAAATTAAAAGAAATATTTCCCTATGTTTTCTTTACACATAATGGAAAACAAAATAGTAAATATTTAAAAAAATATCTACTATCTAAAATATTTTTAAAGGTAAAGGGATAAAAATAAAGGATAATTCAGACCCATATCGACCGTTTGTTGATATGATGCTTTGTTCTGTTGAAGCAAATTTTGGAAATGATTTGGAGGCAAAACCATTCAAATATGACATTTCAAAACATTTAGTTAATGAATTTTATTAAAGAAATTTTTTTGATATACTATTTTGTTTTAATTGTTTAAATTTTTTCGATTTAGTTCTTTTGCTTTTTTAAATCTGAACTTGTCTAATCTAGACTCTCATTTTTTGTCCACAAAGTTTGTTTTTAAAATTTGATTCTTTTAATTTTAATATTAATTAATAACTTTGAGAGTGGATTGGCGAGAATGAAATTTAATAAAATAAAAATAGTAAATAGATATTATGTATTTTTAAATTAAATTTAAGTAACTTTTAGATTTAAAAATAATTTTAATCTATAAAATGTAAGTTTAAAAAAGATAATATTCCAAACTAGGGTTGTTCACGGTCGGTTTATTTATTTATTTATTTATTTATTTATTTATCAGCAAACCACAGGTATTTTAAAATACATTAAAGTGGTGCGTAAAAAATATATACAAAGCAAAAAATATGTGAAGCAACATGTAAAGCAACAACAAAAAAAACATGAAAAAAAAATATATATAAATAGTAAACAAACACTCGAAAACCACGCACGCTAGGGTTTAATGTCCTTAGTATTTTATAGAATACTGTTTAATGAGACTTCTAAATTTTTTCGGATCATTTATTTTAAATGGCTCATTTGGAAGATTATTCCAGTTATTCACCACTCTGTGAAAGAAATTATTTTTTGTTTTATTTGTATATTTTTTTGTCCTAAGAAGTAGAGGCCTGCGAAGGGATCTATTTGATAAATTAAAATATTTTTGTGAATTAAGGGATGTAAAACCTTTTATAATTTTAAAGGCGGTGGACAGATCGGCAACCTTTCTTCTATCTAATAACTTTTCGAGTTTACAAGTATTTAATCTTTCTTCATATGGGACCTTGATTAAACCACATTTTTTGTAAATATTTTTAGTGAATAGTTTTTGGATTTTTTCAATTTTCTCTATTTGATATTTCATCTGTGGATTCCATACTTCAGTTGCGTATTCTAGTTGGGGTCTTATATATGTCTTATATATATTAACGAGGAGATTTAAATTTCTAGATTTAATGATTCTTATTATTTGGGAGCTTTTTAAATATGCGTTTTTTATGATCATATTTATATGATTGTTAAATGATATTTTTGAATCAATTAATATTCCAAGATCACGAATACATTCTGTTAACCGAACCGGAACCGTTAACCGGTGTTTTTTTCGAATTAACCGGAACCGAAAACCGGGGGTCGAAAACCGGCGATAATCGAAAACCGGTGACCAAAACCGCCCGGTTTCGGCAAATTTTTTAAATATATGATGAGAAAGAAAATGAAAACGCGTATTTTTACCTACTTTTTTCCAAAATTCACAACATTTTCGCCTGCGGCGCTGAAAAAGGAAGAAACCCGGCTTTCTGGCCTTCCAAAATTCTCAAAATTTTTGCCTGCGGCGCAAAAAATGAATATTTTTCACTTTAATATTCTGTGGGGCGAGGTTCAAATCCTTGATCGGACGTAAAATCTTTCGACGACGCCTCTTAATCACAATATTCATCAATCCCTTGATAACTTCTCATCCTCTTAATCCCCCGATCATCGATATTAATCCACCCACCGATCCCTCTACTCTCCTAATATTCAAAATCAGCCAACTATACCCTTTAATTCCTCGAATTGTTTAAATTTGTAAATTATTCAGCTACTAGTGTATCGAATATTTTTTTAAAAGCGGTAGAATGTGACAACATCTTAATGGGATATTCTGGATGAAAATTTGTTCAAAAACCGGTCCCGGTTAACTAAAAACCGGGGGTAAATCAAAAACCGGAACCGAAAACCGGGGGTCGAAAACCGGCGATAACCGAAAACCGAGGGTACCGGTTAATAACCGGTCGCCAACAACCCTAGTTCAAATATTAAAAAAATAAATTTAAAAATCTAAAATGAAAATCAAAGTTTAAACAGATTCATTTTTGAGAAGAAAAATTTTTTAAGCCTCATTTCCAGCCCTGGACTCGAACACACTCCTATGAAAATATCGAGCCAGTCGCCTTACCCATTCAACCACCGATCAACATAATGAAAAATGGAAGAAATTATAACTAGAGACCGGATTTTTATGCAAATGCATATTTTTTTGCAAACTTGGCATGATGTATAAAGCACAAAAAACACTGTTTCCGCATGTTTTGAAAACTCTAGAGGGGGTTTCTATTTGCATATAATGCATATTTTTGCATATTCCGGACTTTGCTGCATAATGCATATTTTACTGCATATTTTGAGGTTTTTGGGGAAAATAACTCGAAAATTGCCCATAATCCTGCCAAAAATTGAAAATTTAGTAAAAAATTAGGAAAAAATTTGTAAAAATTGCAAATTTTGTAAAAAAAATTTTTTGTTTTTGGGCGAGACCCAAAAATGTCCCGTACCCAAAATGTCTCACGCCCAAAACGTCCCATCCCAAAATGCCCCACCACCAAAACGTCTTATCTCAAAATGTCCAATGGATTAAATATACTCAATTTGTCGAATTATACATCTAAAATGAGTAATCTTAATAAAAATAGGTGTTTTAATGTTTTTGATTCAAAAAAAAATAAAAATTCTAGGTAAAAATTGTATTTTTGCTGCATAATTTCGTGAATATTTTGGTTTATTTGCATATTTTTGTGCATATTTTGTCAATTTTTTATGCATATTATAGTGCATATTTTGCATTTTTTAATGCATAAATATCCGGTCTCTCATTATAACTATTTCTTTTTCTTTTCCTTCTTTCTCTTTCTATAAGTTAATCGGGTAAGGCTAAATTTTCGGGTAGAAACTTCGGATTTTAACTAAATTCGGGTCACGGGTTTCGGGTTGGAAAAAATATCGGGTTTCGGGTTGGAAAAAATATCGGGTTTCGGGTTGGAAAATTTTCTTTTCGGGTATCGGGCGGCAACCCTGATGTGGAGTAAAAAATCTTCGAAGTCGAAAATCGAAAGAAATAAAAAATTTGAAAATTATTTTATGAAACGACCTATTTGATAAATTTTAAGAGCGATAATTTAATAAAAAAGATTTATTTAAAAATTGGTTATTTTAATTGATAAAAAGTAAAAAATCAAAAAGAAAACTTAAAAAACAAATTAAACTTTCAATAAAATTCTTTATGAATTTCATGTTTTGAAATGTCATAATTAAATGGCTTAGAATCCAAATCATTTCCAAAATTAGCTTCAATTGAGCAACTTTCCAGCCGAACATATGGTTTGTATGATTTGAAATTCTCCTTCAATAATACAGCCTTACCTTTAATAAACAAATTTTACAAAATTAGTTTTAATGAATATTTACCAATCTGTTTTCCATTTTTTATAAAGAAGACATAAGGATATTCATCCAATTTATTAGCTGGAGGACAAACTAATCCACAGCCAAAAATATCGTTGCTATTCCAAGAAGTGTTGTCAAGTTTAAATGATTCATTTTTCTCGTTAAAAACTCTTTCATACTTAGCAGAAAATCGAATACTTTTATTTGTACTGGAATTTTTAAGTCCAATACTCATATATTTTCCATCATTATTTAACTCTCCTTCAAATTTGCATTTAATTTCGAAATAATATAGTAAAGAATTTTTAAAACAATTCTGAGGTTTTTTGAATGTTTTTTCTGCATAAACATAAGCACTGACATTTTTCCCTAAAAATATTTACAAAAGAAATAAAATTTAAAAAAATAATTTACCATCTTTACCCTCTAAGCAATTAATATATTCAATATTTTCATCGTCAATTATATTTACAAATCCATTTCCTGTGACACAATTACCAACAGGTTTGTTTGTATTTATACATTTATTGTCACAACATTTACTGTATTCAATCTCTTTCCATTTATTTCTAATTCCAACAAAATTCTTTTTAAAAAATTAATTTTAATAAGTTAATTATATGTATAATATAAACTAACCACAGCAACTTGCATTGTTTTTTGATGTGTTTTAATGTTTGAACTTCCAACACCATCATTTGTTATAATCCATTTTTGTGGGTCATTTGGATCTTGTTTGAAAGACAAATCTCCTTTAAATTTTTTTAGAAAATTCATCCACAAAGAAAAAACCTAAAGTAATTATTTGCTGAGGCTTTGAAACCGGAGTGAATAGTTCTTGAGTTTGTTGTGGCTCTGCTTTGACTGTTGTCTTTTCTGGTTCTTTTTTCTGTAATAAACGATTTTAAATTTATCTTTTAAAATTAGAATTTTGGTAGTTAGAAATCTATTTTTGAAAAAAATATTCTTGAACTTTATAAAAAAAATTTTGTAAATTGTCGTGTAAAAGTACGGGGCTCCGATCCGTATTTATTTTAATAGTACACATAAAATTAATTTGAAAGTGAAAATGTACATCTTTGTAGCTACGCAACTTAAAATTGACTTATCAAGAACATAATAAATAACAATCCATTCATAAGCTATAGGGTCTTGGACTCTGTTGAGGTGTACCCAAATTAATTAATATTTATATTCACCTTTAAAATCTCTTCTTTCAAAAAATTAATTTTTTCGTCTTTTCGAACATTTTCTTCAATTAATTTTTGAAAATTTTGTTCAATTTCTTTAAATTTGCTTTCATTATCAAAATTTATTTTTTCAATTTTCTAAAATTTATTTTTAGAAAATTATTTAAAAAATCCAAACTTTATTCATTTCCTTCAATTCATTTTCAAGAAAAACAGATTTCTTTTCTAATTTGACAGCCTTTTCCTTCTCTTCAACCAAATTTTTTTCAAGTTTTTCAAAATTAATTTGAAGTATTTCCAAATCATCTTTCTCATTTTCAACCAAAAGCCAATCAGAATTTGATGATAATTCTTTTTCAGTCATTTCGTTTTTGAATTTAAAGAAATAAATTCTGTTAAATATTTATTCTTAAATTAAAGACAAATATGAGCAAATATAAATAAATTTAAGATTTTTTGAAAAATTTAAAAAGTAATGTTACTTTTCATTTATCGCGGCGCAAAGTCCTCCCATTTATGACCTTTCCTCCTCTACTTATGCTTGAAGTAAATAGTATATTTAAAATATATTTATATTTTTATTTACGCTTTTTTACCTAAAGCATATATTTAAAAATAAAATGTTTTATTAAACAAAGATACTTTGACCTATATATTAATCATATGTACATATAATGTTTGGAACTTTCAATTTATAGTAAAGCAATAGACAAATGTCATCATGGGAAATAATATTTTCAAGTCAGAAAGGGAGGAGAGAAAAATATTTAATAAAACTTTTTCTCCGTTTATTGCGGCTCTTTCTATGCTGAAATTTGAAAAATAAATACATGTTAATTAAACTTGAATATTCCGATAAAAAACTGTTCCTTTTTAAATGAAAATCATTAAAAGCTTTTTGATTTTAAATTTTTTTATTAATGTTGTTTTATCTCTATTATTTTCTTTTATTTGATGAATTTTTTATTTAATTTTTTAGAATTTATAATGGTTTATTACAAATTTGGACGTTGTACTGTTTGCCAATTTCGTTTGCGTTCTGACAATGTTTATACTTTAAAAAATTGTAATCACACATTCCATCACGATTGTGTTACTCGCTGGATTAATGAAGTAGTGAGAAAATTTAATTTTAAATTCTATTTTTACATTTTTAGTCACAAGATTGTCCTCGTTGCCGAGTTGCTGCTACTTTGACTGATATTAAACAACTTTTTGTCGAAGAGGCAAGTGATGGTTCTGACGATTCTGGTGATGAGTAGGGGTGCCAATTATATGGAAATCCATATTTTTTTCCTGAATTCCTATGACTGTGAAATGCACAAAAAACATGTTTTTGGCATGTTTTAGGGTTTCTAGAATGGTCTTTAAAATCCATATTTTCCATATTTTTCCATATTTTGGATTTATGCCCATATTTTCCATATTTTGTCCATATTTAGCCTTTATATCCATATTTTATATCAATATTTCTACTTTTTTGAATATTTTGGTCCATATTTGGTCAATTTTTGGAAAATTTTAAAAATTTTGGAAATTTTTGGTCAAAAAATTTTTTCAAAAATTTTTCGGAAAAATTTATTTTCAAAAAAAATTATAACAGAAATTTTAAATCCATTAAATCTTTTAAAATGCTCTTAAAATGCAAATTTACAGGCAAAATTATCGTTTTCTACTTAAAATACTGATTTTTAAAATATCTTTTCACTATTTTTTGATCCATATTTCTGAATTTTATATCCATATTTAGTGTTTATTTCCATATATCCATATTTTAGGATTTTATATCCATATTTTATGGCCATATTTTTCGATTTTATATCCATATAATTGGCACCCCTAGTGATGAGCTTACTGAAAGTTCGAGCAAAATCTCTACTCAAACTGTGGGAATTTTAAAATAAAATTAAGGGATACTTCATCCAATAGATTAAATTTTTTATGATAAACATTTCATTCGGGACCTATAACTAGTTGATCTTGTGTTTGAAAATAAAATCTTAGGTGGAAAAGTGTCGAGCTATACGTACAAACAATTTAAAAAAAATATTCAAAAAATTAATTTATTTTATATATAGAAGACAAATGATTTTTTTCACAAAAAAAGTAGTGATTTAGCAATTGTTAAATTAACTGATAGTATGTCTTGTAAATATGCGGTTAGTTAGTTTCTAATTAAATTTAATAATAATTTCTAAAGAATTTTGTTGAAATTAAAAATAAATGGACTAAAATTTATGGTAAATGTTGTGACAATAAATGTATAAATACAACCAAACCTAATGGTAATTGTATTAAAGGAAATGGATATGGAAATATAATTAATGATGAAAATATTAAATATTTTGTTCGTTTGGAGGGGAAAGGAGGTAATTTTTAAATATTCAAATTTTAATTCTCGTTTAAAATTTTTAGATGGGAATACTCATTTTCAAATTTATGCAGAAAATTCATTTAACAAACCACAAAATTGTGTCAATTATACAGTATATTATTTTGAAATTAAATGTAAATTTGAAAGAGAGGCGAAGAATTGTACATATTGGATGCATATTGGCCTTAAAAATTTAAAATCTAAAAGTAATATTAATTATTTCGTAAATTTGGATACAATTTATTCCCCTAATAAACATCAAGTGCTTAATCTTTCAACAACTTTCAATAATAACGATATTTTTGGTTGTGGATTAGTTTATCCTCCAACTAATAAATTAGAGAAAAAAGAAGAATTTCCTTATGTTTTCTTCACTCATAATGGAAAACAACTTGGTAAATATTTAATAATAAAAATTATTTTTAAAAATTTCTTTAAGGAAAGGGTACATTATTGAAGGACAATTTCGACTCATTTAACCCATTCGTTGATCTGTTATGTTGTTCTGCTGAAACGAATTTTGGAAATGATTTGGAGTTGAAACCATTTATTCATGACATTTCAAAACATTTGGTTCTTCAAGAATTTTACTGAAATTTTTTTGATTAATTTTGTTAAATTACTTTTTTAATTCGAATAACAGTTTTTTAAATACCGCAGATGCTCGAATAATTACCCTCTCTCAAATAATTATCCCCTCCTTTTCTTCCTTTAATTCTAGAAATATTGAAAAAATTATTGTCAATTTTAATTATTGAAACATTATAAGAATCCATATGAAAAAATAAATGGATTTCTTCCTCGATTTATTGAGACCGAATTAGCTCACCGAATTTAGCACATCCTGTATACCCCGAATTTAGCACACCCTCTCGATTAATTACCTCCTCCACGAGAGGTCGAAACAATAATTATGTTGTGTACTCGAAATTATAATTTAAATTAATATTTATTTAACTTTGACCTTTTCCAAATATTCAAATATATTTCTTTCCTTAAACCATTTTTCCCATTTTTATCATTTCTTTCTTTATGTTTGATTGGAATTCCCCTTTATAATATTCAAAAATCCCTTTTTACCTAACCGCCATTTCTCCTCATATATTTAAATAACTGTCAATCATACTTATATTTCCAATTCCTATTCCCGCCTCGTTTGTCTGTATATAAGCATTTAGCTTATCCTTATTTTTCACCTTTAATAACCTATACCTTCACCCTATATTTAATTGCCCTTATTTAAATTAAATAAACTTTTATAAATAAAAGACTTAATTGATATAAGACTCAATTGAATATTGAGAGAAAGTAAATAAAACATAAATCCCCGGACACTTCAAATTACCCAGGGTATTTTTTCGAGCATATACGGTAGTGCTATTGAATTTGTCAAATGAAAACTTTTTTTTGGTTTTTATTATTTATGTATGAATAACCTCTAAATCCCGCGATAAAAAACAATAATTTTTCGTGAACATTTTAATTAAAAATGTTCTCTCTCTTTTTCTCTTAAATATTACGGGTGAAATTAATGAAGAAAACATTCCCAGTATCAGAGATAAGCTGAATTTTTACTTCCAATTTTTCTAGAGATGTCCAAAACCAAAAATTTTCTAAGATTCGAGACAGATTGGATCTTTGCAGCCAAGACTTAAGCATAATACCAAGAAGACAAAACTCAAGAAAATATCTCGAGTTAAGAACGAGTTAAGAAATCTTGTACGTCTCCAGTGTTTTACTTCTGGTTTATTTTAAAACTGTGGGTAAAACTAAGAAATATTTTAAGTTCAAAAATCAATAATACAAAAAGAATTTTTTTCTAAAAAAGCTTTAACGTCAAAGCTATAACTTTCAAAACTCCTTTAAATTAACGATAAAAATATATATTTTCGTTTAATTTATTTTTTGTATTTAATTAGCTGGTTTAAATACATTTTTGGTAATATTCAATTTCGTACACCATTTCCCCTTTTCCATCCTCCCTTCTTCAACTTCACACTATTTCCTCATGACATTAAATCAGTCAATAAAATAATTAAATTTTTATTCAGAACGTTCACAAGGCTAATCCGCCGAAAATTCAGAAAGAAAAATTAGAAATGTGAGAAATATACGGCGCAGTCCAAAGGGCGCGCTGTAAGTTGCATGTCGTTATGTTAATAAAAATTTTGTTAACTACCTATGTAGCCCCAATACCTAGTTTTTCCCGACAAAACAAATTTTTGAAAACATAATCCGAAACCAGACAAAATTATTTCTATACCTATGTAACTGATATAGAGGATAAATTCAATAAATCGGGGTCTACATGTTTAAACTCCATAATGAAAACAACATTTCCTTTTGACTCACAAACTTTGCATTTTTTATGAAGTTTCTTTGCATTTTTGAATGTTTTTCTATTTTTTCTAATATTTTAAGTATTTTACTTAACAAAAAGAAAAACAGTTCTATTAACATTTAAAAATAATTTACGCTAAATACATTTACAGGGTGCGGCAAATTCGCGCCACTTTTTCTTTTTGTCATAACTTTCTTCAAAATTAATGAAAATTGATAATTTTTTTTTGTTTTATTCCGAACACTTTAGGAAACTTGAAGATACCAAATTTTAAAAATTTGGTTCACTGTTGGCAAAGATAATCGAGTTCGAACGTCTGGAAAATTTAAAAACATTTTTTATGCCAAAGTTTAATTGATCATAACTTCGTTCATAATCGTTCAATACCAATGATTTTGGTACTAAACGACTCAACTCTTTCAGGAGTATCGAAATAGCTTATAATCTCATTTTTGAAAATTTTACACAAAAATTTTATTTTTATCAAAATTATTTTAATTTATCATTCAGAGGACCGTATCTCATTCAATTTTTGTCATAGCCCCCTGATTTTTATGTCATCGAATCAGAATGAAGAGCTGATTCGAATGATATAAGTATTTCCAATATTAAAATCTCAGCCTTGAATCTAGGCCAATTTTTATCCAAAAAATTCTGCTCAAAATTTGAGGGAAGTTTACTCAGAGTAAACTTAAAATTAAAAAGCAATTTTGGTATCAGCAAGTTTCCTAAAGTGTTGGTAATAAAAAAAAAAGAATTATCAATTTTCATTAATTTTGAAGAAAGTTATGACTAAAGCTGTGATAGTTAGGCATGTAAAATCAGTGAAATAGGCGCCTAAAATAGGCACCAAAAAGCCAAAAAAGGCACAAAAATAGGCAGGTAAATAAAGTTATCTGGCTTATAAAATTAAGATAAAAGCAAAAAATAACCATTTATTCGTCATTTTTTAAATTATAAACTATTTATTACAATATTTTGCCGTTTATTCAACATTTTGAAACATTTTTTGAGCAAAAATGAAGTAGTTTTCAAAAAAAAATGTCGATAACTGACAAAAAGTAAATCTCGTCCAACCCACAAAACGACCCACGACAAAATGTCCCACACCAAAACGTCTAATCTCAAAATGTCCAACAGAGTAAAAATACTCAATTTGTTGTACTATACATTAAAAATGGGAGTTGGCACTGATTTTTTTTAATCCGGGACTGATTTTTTTAGATTTTTCACTGATTTTTAGGCAAAATTTAGAAAAAATCGCTAAAAAAGGCAAAAATAGTACCGAAAATTACAAAATAGGCAAAAAGGCTCAAAAAGTCCGAAATAGGCAGAAATAGGCAAATTAAAAGTCATGCTAGACGCTTCGGACCAAGCTAAAAACACGTTTTTTGAACGTATTACATCATCCCAAGCTTGCAGAAAAAATAGGCATTTGCCTATAAATCACAGCCTTAGTTATGACAAAAAGAAAAAGTGGCGCGAATTTGCCGCACCCTGTATAATTTTCTATATATTTCATAAATCCTCCTTAAAACCTCCTCACCAAATCTCCCTTCATTTCCAAATAAATTAACGAAAATAGAACCGCCTTTTTTAATTTAAAATATTTTTCTGTGTGGAATGCAGGCATGACGCTAGACGAAATGCCTGATGTTGGCAAATACCCATTTTTAGATTAATGTTAATAAAAATTAATTTTTCTTTTTCATTTAAATTTTTGTGTGTTTAATTAGCTGTTTTCAATAAATTTAAGTTTTTTAAATAAAATTTTATTTATGAAATAAAATATTCATTCATAGAAAAATGAGAGAGAAGTTTAGAAGTTAACTAAATTGATTAAATCTAATCATACAAGTTAAGTTTAATACATATCACTTAACTTTCTGCTATTTGATTTTTGTTTAGAAAATTTATTTTTTATTCAGCTGATAATTTTTAAAACCAAAACGAATATTAAATACGTTCCAATACGTCAAAATAATCCATATAATTTTTTTAATTTTAGTATTCTAACAATTTTGCCAAAAAAATTTTTCATAGTTATAATACATATTTCTGTAATATTATTTAGTTTAAAGCTAATAGTAGAGCCGTGCTTATTTTTTGTAAAGTAAAATAAAAATTATTTTTGCCTGAAAAAAATTCTATAGACGATATTATTTAATAAAACAGTTTATTTAAATTTTTAAAAATATCCTTAAAAGCTTGATAATAAGCATTTATCAAATTTATTTTAAAAAGAAAAAATACCAATTTATTTTAAAAATGCAAAGAAATTTTATTAAACAATGCAAAGTTTGTGGGACAAAAGAAAATGTTAGTTTTCATTATGGAGTTTGTACATGTATGGCTTGTGGGTCTTTTTTTAGGTATTATTTAATAAAATTTAATTTTAAAAAAATTTGGTAAAATTGCGTCATAACTCCCATACTCCGATTTGGACAAATAATATTTCATTTAAAAATAATATTTCATTTCATTTAAAAATAACCTATGGGTGGGAGAGTTCCAATTCCGGAACTGAAACTGTGGAACCGACAAAGGTCTGAAACCGGTTCCAAAAATACTCCCATAATGATGGGCTGAAAAAGAGATGAGCAAAATTTGGTAGTCGTGAAAAGAAAAGGAAGACAAAATTAAGACAGACAAAAAAGATTTTCTTTCCTTGACTGGATAGTGTGTGTGTGATTGAAATCTGTATTCTTTCCCCAAATCGGTGTATGTATGGGAGATATGACGGAATTTTTCCAAAAATTTATTTTCAAAAGGCGTTATCTTGAAAACGAAAATCAATGGAAATATAATTTATGTAAATGTTCAGAAAAAAATACAAACGAAAAATCTCAACGAAATTGGGCAAAATGTAAAAAATGTAGACTTGAAAAATGTTTTTCTGTTGGAATGAAAAAACTGGGTTTGTCAAAATTAGGGTAAAAATTATTCCCCTTGAACCCCTAGCTGATCGGTTTGCGTTAACCAATCTCTTATATCCGCCGATATCCCTCCAAATTACTGATAAATTAATGACATAATCAATGTTATACCCAAAAATTCCCATTAACTCTGCAAATCTCCAATACTCTCTTAATCACTTCTAATCCTTTTATATCACCTCACGGGGATTAAACTGAGGTATAAACAAGGGACCGGAAATACGGTATCCAATATTTAAAAATAATTATTAATAAAAAAGTATTTTAGATGTTGGATATTTACGTCATGATATATGCCGGGAAGCATGGAACCCCAAAAAAATAAAATTAATGTAAATTTATCAATTTTATACAAGAATTGGAAAACACAGTTACTGCAGTCTAGGGTTGAAAAAAATCTTTGAAAATAGAATATTGAAGAAGTTCAAATTATCAAAATCAAAAGAAAAAGCCATATATCTTTAGCTAATTTCAAAATTTTCCATAACTCCATCAATACTCGAAAAAACAAAACATAATAACTAAACAAGAATTAAAATTCTTTCTATTTATAAGATACTAAATTCCTCAACTGTTGACATAACCATCAAAGAGCAGAACCTGGTAAACTCAATTTTACCAATTATCGAAGCCCAAAAACGTATTATGCATGCATTTAATGATTTGGATGATATATTCCTTAATGGCCCGATTTTGTTCGAAGAAATAATTTTGTCTAATTTTAATATTTTTCGTTTAGTTGATTGTTTTTCGGTAAATTTTAATTCAATTTTTATTAAGGATTAATTATGTTTTAAAGCCAAATCCAAGTCCAATACCTCTTGATGAATTAAATAGTTGGGAATCTTCATTACAACGTGAAGGATTATTTAATAGGAGATTTCAAAAATGCATGTTAGTTGACAGACTCTTGTGTTTTGGTATAGCTAATTCTATGCCTGTTTTTGAAAAATTGACTTTATCTGATAAGGTTTTATATAAATTTATTTTTGACTCTAGTTAGGATAGAACCGGATTTTTATAGTAATCCGTTTGATGAATAGTTTTAAAAATTGTTTTATTATAATAGATTGCACATCTAAGGCATATTTGTCAATTGTTTCGTACAAACACCTACGTAGGTTTTTTTTACAAACACCTACGTAGCTTGGGAATTAGGCTCTGAAACTTGGAAACGTAAAGATAATATTATGCCTGCTCTTGGTTTTAAGAAGAATCTTGCATTCTTAAATGATGATAAGTAAATATTTTTCTAATGATTTTACTAAAAATTTCAAAAAAAAATTAGCTCTTGACTTTCGATTTTTAGAATAATTAAATGGTTAGATCTTATATTTACAAAATCTGTTGCCCATTTTAAACGTGCTTCATTAACAAAAGTTGAATTTGCTTTGTTAATAGCTATTATCTATTCGAAATCAGGTAGACACTTTAATTTAAACTCTTACGGCCCGACTAGATAAAAACAATATGTCTAAAAATGTCTAGGAATAATCCGCCCGACTCGAATAAGACTCGACCTCCCCCCCTCCCTCCCGAAATTTGCCTTCCAAATTTCAAAATTTTCACCTGCAGCACGGATAAGTGGATACGGATATCGACCTCACGCATATGTATATCCGGATACGGATACCAAAATCCGTGTCCATTACCAAGCCTGAAACAAACTTTAATTTTTTAACAAAAGGTGCTGAAGGCTTGTCTGTTGAAGGAAAAGAATTACTTTATAACGAATCTATTAAATACACAAATATTTTACTTCGATATAATCAACGAAGATTAGGTTTAATTGAAGGCGCTCAGAGATTGACTGAATGTAGTCGACTAATTAATCTAAGTATTGAAAATGAATATAATTTTCGGTCAATGGTCCTTCATGAAATTAAATATTTTTCAATAAGTACTAATTACTCAAAATGTTCAAACTTTACGACAAAATTTTTGGAAAGAAGTGATTAAAAATGACAATTTTTATAAAAATGTATATTTATAAAAATGTATATATATTTATAAAATGTATATACCATAGTCATAATTAAAGAAATTTAAAGGATTTTTCCTCAAATAAAGACAAAAAACAAATTAAATTTCAATAAAATTCTTTAAGAATTTCATGTTTTGAAATATCGTATTCAAATGGTTTAAGTTCCAAATCATCTCCAAAATTCGCTTCAACAGAACAACACTCTAGCCAAACATGTGGTTTGTATGAGTTTGAATTATCCTTCAATAATATAGCTTTCCCTATTAAAGAATAATTTTTATGACTTTTTTTAATTAAATATTTACCAATTTGTTTTCCATTTTGAGTAAAGAATATATAAAGAAATTCAGTTGACATATTAGTTGGAGGATAAACTAATCCACAACCAAAAATATCATTATTATTCCAAGAAATATTATCAAGTTTGAATTCTTCATCTTCCTCGTTATAAATTATAGAAGTTCTAGCAGATAAGTTAATATATTCATATGTATTACAATTTCTTAGCCCAATTCCCATCCATTTTCCCCACTCATCTAACTCTCCTCCTTCAAATATACATTTAATTTCAAAATAATATAATGAATAATTAAAAGAATTTTGTGGTTTTGTAAGCGAATTTTCTGCATAAACTATAACATAATTATTATAACCTGAAAATATTTTTAAAAAATTAAAAATTTCACTTTGTTAGTAATCTACTTCCTTTCCCTTCCAAATATTTAATATTTTCATCAAATAAATTTACAAATCCATATCCTTTAGCGCATTTACCAATAGGATTGTTTGTATTTATACAATTATTCTCGCAGCGGCTATCACCAATTTCACTCCATTTATTTTTAATTTTAACAAAATTCTTTAAAAAAGGGATTTGACTAACAAATATGGTACACAAACACAACACCAAACCATAGGTCCTAACGCAGAGTTGGGTACTTATGAACATAGATTTGGGGAGAAAAAACAGACCTCGTAAGTACTTATCAAATATTTAGGTTAAGTCTTCCTCCTTTACATCCCTTTTAGTATGTAAGTATATTCCCTTTTTGTGCGTGTGGAATGGTGATATGTTCTAGATCATTTTGAAAAGTTAAAGATCAACCTTTTTAATTTCTTTCTCCAAAAATATAATTTCCTCATCTTTTTGCTTTAAATAATGCGTCATTTTTTTAATATTATTTTCATCATCAACAATAATTTTCTCAATTTTCTAAAATTTTTTAAAAAATTATTTAAAAAATCTCCAAACTTTATTCATTTCATTCAATTCTTCTTCCAAAGAATTAATTTTCGCATCTTTTTGCTCTAAATTTTGTTTTATTTGTTCAATCACGTTTTCATTGTCACAAGTTACCTAAAAATAAAATCATAAGAATGAAATCACCAAATAATGTACGGGAGCAGGCCAAGTTAACTCAAATACACTTAATCTTTACAAAAAATCATAATTCTTCTATATCCGTCCATTGGAAATAAACAGTTTTCTCATGAAAGTCCGGGAGTTGAATTTCATCCTATGATATAGCCTTAAAACAAAATACTGACGCATTTTCCGGACGCGCCGTCTCAGAACAAAAAATTTTTTTAACGGTTCTACTTGATCAGTCATTTTAAAAACTGAATTTTTATTAATAACTTAATTAATCATTTACCTTTATAACTTCTTCTTCCAAGAAATTAATTTTCTCATCCTTTTGCTTTAAGTAAATATCATTTTCAGCTTTTAATTGCTTATAATTTTCTTCAATTGATCGTTGAAAATATTGTTTTAAATTTTTAATTTCATTTTCATGTTCAGAATTTATTTTTTGTATTTCCTAAAAATAATACATAATTAAAAAATCTCTAATATGTAGACAAAAACGAAACAAGAAAATACTTGCCTCTTTATGTTTAAAATTACTGATTTCCAAAGATTGCTCATTAATTTTCAATTTCAACTGAAGTATAAATATATTTTTAGCTTAGTCATATCAAATAGTACGACACTTAATCTGGAAATAACAGGAAAGAAGGTGAAAATAACAAATCGACCTCGAAGAGCTTTTCGAAAGCTTTATCAAGAAAAAAAGCTCGCTCAAATTAGTTAGTAAAACAGGCAAGGGTGGGTTGATGTCCGCCAAAGTATTACCCAGGCTTTAGTAATTTAATAAAAGTAATTTTAACCTCCAATTCTCTCAATTGATGTTTTAAACTTTCAATTACATTTTTAGTTGAACAACAAGCATTTGACAATCCTTCTTCAGTCATTTCTTGGATCTTTAATTAAAATACTTTAAAAAACAGAATAACCTAAATTAATTAAATTTAAAACAAAAAATTCAAAATTTGTTAAAAATTTATTTTGAATTGAGGTAATCTTCTACTCGAATATTTAAATAAATTTTAATTTCCTTCGAAAAAATGAAAAACTAATTCTTCAAATTATAATCAAATTAAATTTTTTTAAATAAAATATTAATTTGTGGGAAAACTATTATAAATGAATTGAATTTACATAGTAATATTAAAAAATATATTTATATACTAATGAGTTTTTGCCCAGAAATTGATTTGTTGTGAATAATAATTGCCCTCTCTCAATTTGTTGAGAAAAGGAGGCGAAATGATTAATTAATTATTTTTGAGGGAATATTTTAAATATATTTTCATAAAGAATGTTTGTAAAGGTAAATGTGAATTTCACAGAAGGCTAATTTAGTTTACTCTATTGCCTAAAAGTTTATTTCTTTTAAATTACTCCTTTTTTAAAAATTAAACGGAGATTACCTCCGAAAAATACACCCATTTCACCCAAAATTTTATTTAGTTAATATGTACATGTTTAAAAAAGCTTTGAAATACGCTAGTAGAGTTACATGTATGTATTATTTTACATCAGTTTCTGACAGTATTTTGATTAAAAGTTGTTATTTTGTATCAATTTCCTTATCTTTAAATCATACATTTTATCAAAATTTTATCTGCCAATCTCTTCTCGGGACCGGGATTGGCCTAAATCGGTATCGCAATTGAGAATAATCCAATAAACTAGTTTAGCCTTATGTGAAATTTTTATTTACAAGATATAAAAATTTATATAAAATTTTGTGAATTTTATATTTAATAAAAATTATTCAAAATCCAACTGATTCAATTTATTTTTTATTAACCCTATGAAAAGAATTAACATAAAAATTTCAAGAAAAAGTTTTTATTAACTTTCAGAAAATTAATTTATAAAATATGAAAACACCAAAACAATTAGAAGAATGGTCATTTTCTACAAAAAATTCTGATACATAAAATTAAAAATAAAATTGAAGATGAGACACTTGAAGAAAAAAATTTTGCAGGAAAAAGTAGTAATTTGGAAACATCAAGTATTGAAACTACTTGTGATTCTTGTCGTTCATCACAAAATATAATTAAAAGTTTAAAACAACGTTTGGAGAAATTGGAGGTAAGAAATTTATTTTCTGGCTGATTTCTAGAAAGGGTTTCAATTATACGACACTTTTCTTTTACTATCCATTTTTCTGCATGAAGGTGTACAAATGAGATTCGACTATTTCAATAAAAATAAATTCATTTTTAGTTGAAATTGAAAATTAATGATTTAACTTTGGAAAATAACAATTTTAAACTTCAAAAGGAACATGAAAATGCAATTAAAAATTTAAAACAAAATTTTAAAGAATTAGTTGAAGAAAATAAAAAATTAAAAGCTGAAAATGTTGATAAAATTAACTCTTTGGAGGAAGAAATTAAAAAGGCAAGTAAATACCGTAAATCTTCTAAAATAGCCACCCTCCTCCTTCTAAAATAGCCTCACCTTTGGATGACGTTCGCAAATGTATCTCTCGGGGAATATTTTAGAGGATTTAAAGTATACCTATCTATTAATGGACTCTACAAATAAGTTGCATTTCTTAGTATGACTTATCTATAACAATTGAATATTTTAATTCTTGAAAGTTTTAATCTGTAATTGGATCTACAGAGCAGTGTTTATATGTTTATGCATATATTTTTTATATATTTATAATACTCGTACTTTGGTACAAGTCGAGTAAAATTTAATACACAGTTAAAGAACTCGTAGAATTGTGTCGAATGACACCAGAATAGTTTTGTTGACTTACTGAATTTAAATTATTTTTAGGAAATTCAAGAACTCAAGACTGAACATGAACGTGAAATTAAAAATTTAAAACAAAATTTCCAAAAATTAATTGAAGAAAACATTAAACAATTAAAAGCTGAAAAACACGACATTTCTTTAAAACAAAAAAATGTGAGAAATAATTCTTTGGAGAAAGAAATTAAAAATGTAATTAAATTACTGTTTATTTAAAAGTTACCTTCTCTAATATAAAATATATTGCCTATTAATAAATGCTCCCCTTAATTATTATTAATATTTTTAAAGGATTTTGCTAAAATTAAAAATAAATGGAGTGAAATTGAAAGCGAATACAACTTTTGTGACAATAAATGTGTAAATTCAAGCAACTCTATTAAAAGGAATGGATCTGTAAATTTAATTGATGATGAAAATATTAATTATTTGGAGGGGAAAGGAGGTAAATTATTGAAATTTTTGATATTTTTTCTAAAAATATTTTCAGGTTCTAATAAATGTGTTTTTGTTTATTCAGAAAATTTATTTAAGAAATTACAAAATTATCCCAAATATTATTTATATTATTTTGAAATTAAATGTAAATTTGAAGGAGGGCCAAATAGAGTTGGGAATTTGGATATTGGTCTTAGAAATATGAATACAAATGATTGTAATTTTTATTCAACAAAGCATAGCAGAATTAGAACCGAGAAAATTGGAATATTTCAACTTCCAACACGTTTTAATAATAACGATACTTTTGGTTGTGGATTAGTTTATCCTCCATCGAATAAAATGAGTGAAGAATTTCCCTATATTTTCTTTACACAAAATGGAAAACAAATTGGTAATTATATTTAATTGGAAATTATTTTACAAACAAATATAAAATAATTGTTTTTTAAAGGTGAAGGCTTATTAGAAGATGACAATTCTGATTTATATAAACCATATGTTGATCATATATATCTGTCTCTTGAAACAAACTTTGGTTGTGATTTGAAGACTAAACCTTTTAAATATGACATTTCGAAGCATTTAATTCTTAAAAAATTTTATAAATAAATTCTTTTATTATTTTTTTTATTTTACGCATAAATTTATAATTACCGAAGTTAAACTTTCAGATTATAAATAAATTATTTTGTTCTGAATTTTAAATGAATATAAATTTTCGGATAAACCGAGTTGAACACATTTCTTCACAATTCTGACAATATTTGGCTTTTTCAGATTTTTTTAACTTATCTTGGCAGTTAACAACCCTAAATTAAAAATCTATTTCTTAAATTTTCGGACCCAAAAAATACAGAATCATTCTTTTATTTAAATTTTAGGCAAAGATTAAACCAATTTAGTTATTTTATTTTTTAATTTTTTTACTTTTTAATCCTAGGTGCCTTATAAACGTTTTTATTTTAAATTTAAAATATTCCCTCAACAAATAAACTTTTTTCTTAACATATACATATGTGCATTATGTATATTCATAAAACAAAATTTTTCCAGGCAAAAAATCCTTAAATATATAAATATATGTATTAATTTATAAATATTTTCTTACTTTGATGACTTTTTTTAACTTTATAAAATTTAAATTTTTTAAATAAAAGTTAATTTATTTTTGTGAATTTAATATTGTATACTAAAATATTGCATTATTTTAATTTATTTAGATCTTATCAACTTAGAAAATTCCAAAAGATGACCCAAGAAGGATCATCAAAGCCTGATTTAATGAAAGTTGAAAAACAAAGCAATGATTTGATTAAAACTAAAACTAATTTTGTCTTTCAAAAAAATTTTGAAATGAAAGAAAAAACTGTTAATCTTAAAAGGAAAAATAATTTTCAAGAAAATGAATTGAAGGAAACGGACAAAGTTTGGATTTTTAAAAATATTTTTAAAAAATAATTTTAGAAAATTCCAAAATTAAATTGTGAATATGAAAATAAAATTCAACATATAAATTCTCAACATAAAAATGAAATTGAAGAAATGAATCAAAAATTTATAAAATTACTTGAAGAAAAAACTAAATTAAAGGTTGAAAATGAGCAAAAAGATGAAAAAATTATTTCCTTGGAAAACGAAATTAAAAAGGTAAAAATAAAAATATTTATTTGAAAATAAGGCTTGTGGGCAGGCCAAATTACCCATCCCAGGCTGACCGCAATTGCGGATTGTGGTCAGTCTACTCTATTAAAGGAGGCCTTCTAGTCGGGCCAGATTTTTCTAAATATTTTTTCGAGGCCCATTTTTATCGGTCGGGCCTTTACGAGTCTTTTCGGCCCAAATATCCTATGGCCGACTCGATCTTTCGGTCCGAGTCGGTCCATTTTGGCAACCCTAATTATAAGACATAAAAAGAGAAAATGAAAGAATAGAAAAAAATGGTTTTTGGTTACTAAAATTTTCAATCAAAAATCAATTTTAAAATTTAATTTATAAAAAAAGACGAATGAATTATTTAACAAGAAGAAGAATGATTTAACAATTAAATTGAAGAATATGCATTATAAATATGTGGTTAGTTTATAATTGAAATTTAAAACCTCCTTAACTCCTATACAAAATTTTTTACAATTATGAGACCGATCGTATTTTATAAAAAATTCTAAGGGCTTTCGAATTGGCCTTTATCAACAATTTAAAACTAAGGTGGCAAAAATAATCATTTACGCCCAGTTTTTACGTTGATTTTCAGGGTATTAAGTCCCTATCATTTTGTTTGACTGTATCTCAAACTTGACAAAATATTTTTGAATTTTTATATTAATTTTCTTTAAGAATCTAAAAAAGGTTTCCTACAAATTTGGTTGTTGTATTATTTGCCAATCTCAATTAGATCATGAAAATGTTTATATGTTGAAAAATTGTAATCATGCATATCATCACTATTGTATTTTTCGTTGGATTAATGAAGGGGTGAGGAAATTTATTTAAATTTTATACCGAATAAATAATGTTATTTGTCAGTTTTTTATGCATTTTGAATTGTTTTCTTGATATTTCCTTTATTTTTGTCACATCCGCGATTCAATTCAATATTTATTTTTTTCCCAACTTTTATTTTTAACATTTTTAGTCGAAAAATTGTCCTTGTTGCCGAGTTCCAGCTACTTTAAATGATATTAAACAATTTTTTGTCGAAAAAGCAAGTGACAGTTCTGACGAGTTTGATGATGAGTTTACTGAAAGTTCAAGTAATATGACTAAAGCCGTGAGTAATTTAATGATAAAATTGGGGGCTGATCCTTATAACTACATAAGTATTCTATAATCTGAAATAAATGTCTTCCTTTTCCCTTTTCAAATTTCCCTTTTCACAATGTTCTAATTCTGTTTTTGTTCAAAAATTGCCACTTGTAAAGAAGGGCCTTTTTGCCTTGTGCCTTTTTCGTTAAATATGTAAAAAATGGTCAGTCTATCAAAGTGTATTTATAAAGCTCGTCGAACTGAGTCGAATGAACCAAAATCAAAAATTCCGGCTTGATTTGACCTAGATACAGACACCTGAAAATTGAAAAATCATAGGGTGATTTTTTGGAATAAAAAGAAGTTCATGAAAATGATAGCTTATTCGAAATAGCTCATTGAGCTGAGTCGAATGATACCTTCTTTACAAGTGTCCAAAAATTTTATTTTCACTCCGAAACGTAAATATTCTTTTTGTTAAATTAACTTTAACAAAAAGATTTATCAAGAAAACCCTCAATATCTATAAATCAATGATATTTTGGATATTGTGTTATTTTATCGTGAGAACAAAGTATCTTTGGTACTCGCTTAATTTCGGTAGTTCTGAGAAGACCCGTAGAATTCTTGCCATTAGCAGGTCTGAAATATATACTTTTCGGATCAGCATATCCGGACCGCTATCCAAAGCTAAATATGTACCTTTAATGGAATATTTGAAATAAATAAAAAACTAATTGCATACTTTAATTGATTTATTTAACAAAAAAGATTGGCGAGTTAACTGAGGCAGATAGTATGGACTGTATTTATGCGGTTAGTTTATAATTAGAAGTTTCCGGATCTAGTATATTGATCTAAAAATAATTTTTTGAAGGATTTTGTTGAAGTTAAAAATAAATGGAAAGAAATTAATAGTAGATACAGTAAATGTTGTTCTAATAAATGTATAACTAAAAACAAACCTATTGGTAAATGTATTGAAGGAAATGGATTTGTGAATATTTTTAGGGGTGAAAATATTAAATATTTGGTGGGGAAAAGAGGTAAATTCAGAAATTTTATTTTATTTTAAATATTTTTAGGTTTTAATAAATATGTCGTAGTTTCTGCAGAAAATTCATTCAACAAACCACAAAATTGTCTAAATTACTCTTTATATTATTTTGAAGTTAAATGTAAATTTGAAGGAGAGTTAGATAATGTTAAATGGATGAATATTGGTCTTAAAAATTTAAGTACAAACAAACATATTATTTATTCTGCAAATCATGCTACATTTTATAATGAGAAAAAAGTTCAATTTCAACTTCCAAAACTTCATTTCAATAATAATAATATTTATGGCTGTGGATTAGTTTATCCACCAACTGATAAATTAAAGGAAGAATTTCCTTATGTCTTTTTCACTCAAAATGGAAAACAAATTGGTTAATATTTAATTAAAAATTAGGTACTTATCCGTTATCTCCTTGCATTTTCTTTTGCCCTTATTACTAGTAACGGCGAATATTCTTACATGGCGATAAGTACCCAATTTCAGGATTAATCGTCTGTATTGTGCGTGTGTACCACAACAAGTTAGCGACCTTAAATCCTAGAGCAACTTAAATCTTAGCTTAATTCTTAGCGCCTTTAACAATTTTTTATATGATTTAGAAAGGAGAATATACATATACATCGATCTACGGACTTTTTGCGAACATTTTATATTTCTGCGGATTTTTTTCGCTTGATGAAAATAAATATTGCCTTTTTCTTCACAAAGAGGAAAAATATCTGCAAAAAGTCCGTAGGGATAACGGAAAATTACTAAAAAACTTATTTTTTAAGGTAAAGGTATATTGTTAAAGGAGAGTTTTGACTCATTTAAACCAAACGTTGATTTGGATTGTTGTTCTGTTGAAACAAATTTTGGAAATAATTTGGAGTTGATACCATTTGAATATGACATTTCAAAACATTTGATTCTTAAAGAATTTTATTGAAATTTTTTATTCACATTTTATCAATTAAATTTATAATTTTTAAATATATTTTTCTGATAAACTTGAAGAATTTTTTGGTTCCATCTTTTAAATTTTGTTTTATTTTATTTAATTCTGTAATTACTTACATTAAAAAAGAAAAAAATAAAAGATCTGTATTTTCTTAGAATGTAAAGTTGAAAAAGAAATAGATAAAGATATGACCTTTCTCTTTTTTTATTTAAATTTTTTGGCAAAAGAAGAGAGAATGATGGGGAGGAGCTTAATTTTTATTGTTCCATTCACCATTTAAAATTATCTTTATTTAAATTACTTTCATTTTTTATTATTCTTCATTTTCCAAGTCGAGTAAAAAAGAACAAGGATTTTTTTCATTATATCCATTGTCCCATTCAACGAATTTAACAACAAAATTTTTAAGATTAAATTCTCCCTGTAAATTTCCATTATTGGAAATTTAAACTTCTACCTTTTATTTTGGAAATTTTTAATTAAAATTTAGCTATATTCTCATTAAATCAAAAAATATTTATTTCAATTTAATCCAAGTTTAAGTGATGGGTTTTTTCCGATTTGGTAAATGTACTATTTGCCTTTCTACTTTGCGTTCTGACAACGTTTATACTTTGAAAAATTGTAATCACACATTCCACCACGAATGTGTTACTCGTTGGATTTCTGAAGGGGTGAGGAAATGATTATTTTTTAATTTTAATAGAGGGGGTTACTAGCGAGATCCGACCCTACTATTTGTCTTGAGTCTTTCGACTTTTAAATAATTAATTACATAAAATATTCAAGATTCATTAAAGAAATTTTTCAACTTTTATTTTTTAAAATTTTAGTCAAAAACTTGTCCTACCTGCAGAGTCTCTGCTATTTTATCAGATATTAAGCAACTTTATCGAAGAAGGAAGTGATAGTTTTGATGATTCTGGGGATGAATTAGTTCAAAGTTCAAGTAATAAACAAACTCTGGCTGTAAGTTCTAATAAAATTATGGTTAATTTACCCAAAACTTCAAATTTTGCGAATTTGAGTTAGACATCAGGGATGTCACGGGTTACCCGAAACCCGAGACCCGAAACCCGGCCTTTTTTTCGACCCGATACCCGAAACCCGATCCGAGAAATTTTCTAAAACCCGACCCGAAACCCGACCCGAGAATTTTTATTTTTCAAAACCCGATCCGAAACCCGACCCGAGTTTTCTCAAAATTTTCGCCCTCGTCGGAGAAAAAGGGAAGATTTTTAGCTTAATGATCTTCCAAAATTCTGAAAATTTTCGCCTGCGGCGCTGAAAAAGGAAGAAATCTGGCTTCGGACCTTCCAGAATTCTCAAAATTTTTGCCTGCGGCGCTGGGAAGGGAAGATACCCGGACTTTTTTTCGACCCGAAACCCGATCCGAAGAAAATTTTGAAAACCCGATCCGAAACCCGACCCGACTTTTTGCTCAACCCGATACCCGAAACCCGATCCGAGAAAAATTTTGGAAACCCGACCCGAAACCCGACCCGACATTTTTCTCAACCCGTGACATCCCTGTTAGACATATTAATTTCTCAAAACTTTTTTTAATAGTTTTGAGACTTCATCTTAAAACATTTTTTTCTTGAAATGAATTAAAAGAAATTAATTTAGAGTTTTTCTTGAATATTTTAGTAATTTTAGAAAATTCAAAAAATAAATCTTGGCCATAAGAAAGAAATTGAAGAAATGAAGCAACAATTTAAACAATTAATTGAAGAAAAATTTCAACAATTAAAAGAAGAAAATGATGTCTGTTTAAAGGAAAGAGATGAGAAAATTAAATTTTTAGAGGAAGAAATTAAAAAAGTAAATAAAAGTAATTTTTTTTAATTTCCATTTTTTAAGGAAAAAAATGAAAAGAAATTAGCTGAGATTAAAAATAATAATGAAATTGAATTTTTAAGGAATAAAATGGATGAGGTCGGTGAGATTTGTATAATTAATTAAAATTTTAATTGTTAAGTAAAAATATTTAAATAATTTGAAAATTATCTTTTAATTTGATAAAATATGTAGATGAACGATTTATTTAACAAAAGGATGAATTTACTTAAATTAAGTAATTTGAGTTATAATAAATGTGTGGTTAGTCGTTATTAAATAAAAAATTACTTACAAAAAATTTTTTAGAATTTTGTTAAAACTAAAAATAAATGGAATGAAATTTTTCTTTCATGTTGTGAGAATAAATGTATAAATACAGACAATCCTGTTGGTAATTGTATTAAAGGAAATGGATTTGGAAATATAATTAATGATGAAAATATTAAATATATTAATTGTTTGGAGTGGAGAGGAGGTAAATTATTAACAATTTTATTTTTTTGTAAATATGTATTTTTAGGTCGTGATAAATATGTTCGTGTCTATACAGAAAATGCATTCAAAAAACCTTTGTATTGTTTCTATCAGTGCTGGGTATGGCTCCGGGAGCTAGCTCCGGAGCCCGGCTCCGGAGCCGGCTCCGGCGGAGCCGGAGCCGGAGCTAAGATTTTGGAAACCCCGGAGCCGGAGCCAAGGTTTTCCAATTCCCCACGGCTCCGGCTATACACCCCTAAAGATGGGTTAGAGAAAAAGAAGTAAGCAAAGATGGTAGGCGGGAAAAGAAAAGGAAGAGAAAATTGAGACGGGTAAAAAAGATTTTATTTCCCTTCCTCTGCAAAGTGGGTGTGGTTGAATGGATAGTGAGTTAGGTTCCGAGTTTTATCCATCATAGGTTCGAAAAATATCACAACTAATAATTAAATAGTTGTTTTTCTTTGAAAAATAAATTATAATAAGCAATTTTTATTAAATAAAGCTGGATAAATTTTTCAAAGTGATTAATTTCAGTCTCATTTTTTCAAAATTTTTAAAAATTTTCACCTGCAGCGCAAAAAAAGAAGATTTTTGGCTTAAGGATCGTCCAAAATTTTAAAAATTTTCGCCTGCGGCGTTGAAAAGGTGAATTTTTTGGCCTACGACATTCGAAAATTCTCTAAATTTTCGCCTGCGGCGCGAAAAGGAAGATTTTTGGCTTAAGATCTTCCAAATTTTTCAAAATTTGCGCCTGCGGCGCAAAAAAGGAAGATTCTTGGACCCAATCCCGCTTAATCCATTGATAACCCTCTTAATCCTCTGATATCACACGATATCCCCCTTTATCTACCCAAATTCCCCATTTAAAAATAATTCATTGATTTTCCAGCCGGAGCCCGGAGCCATCATGGAGCGGCTCCGAAAATCGCCGGCTCCGGAGCCGGAGCTGGAGCCGGAGCCAAGATTTTAGAAGGCCGGAGCCCGGAGCCGGAGCCAAGATTTTGAAACCCCGGAGCCCGGAGCCGGAGCCGGAGCCAAGAATTTGAAACCCCGGAGCCCGGAGCCGGAGCCGGAGCCAACAAATGGCAAATACCCAGCACTGGTTTCTATTATTCCTTATATTATTTTGAAATTAAATGTAAATTTGAAAGTGAGTTAAATAGTGGCAAAAATTGGATGGCTATAGGTCTTAAAAATTTGAGTACAAATAAATGTATTAGATATTATGCAAAGGAAGCTACAATTAATAATGAGAAATCAGAATTTATTAAACTAACACGTTGGAAGGATAACGATATTTTTGGGTGTGGATTAGTTTATCCACCAACTAATAAATTAAATGAAGAATTTCCTTATGTGTTCTTTACACAAAATGGGAAACAAATTGGTAAATATTTAATTAATAATTATTTTACTAAAAAATTATTTTTGAGGTAGAGGTGTTTTATTAAAGGACAATTCTGATGAATATAAACCAGAAGTTTTTCTTAAATGTTGTTCTGTAGAAACAAATTTTGGAATAATTTGGAGACCAAACCTTTTAAATATGATATTTCAAAACATGTAATTATTAAGGAATTTTATTGAAATTTTTTTGATAAATTTTTCGTCTATTTAATTTTGTCTTCCAAAGAATTTTATTTCTTCGATGATTTTCATCAATTAATTGATTAATATTTTATCTTGTTCTTTAAATTTATTTTCATTATCAAAATTGATTTTTTAATTTTCTAAAATCATTTTAAAAAATCTATTTAAATCCAAAGTACCGTATTTTCTCTAATAGAATGACAGTCATTATATTTTTCATATACCCCAAAAAAGTGTCATTCAATTAGAGATGTCATTCAAATGGAGACTGTCATTCTAATTTTCATAGATCAGAAATTGTGATTGGGATTATTGAGTTTGCTATGGGTGATAGGGAAAATTGGCAATTACACCAACATTAAATTCGATATTTTAGAATTTTAAAGCTCGGTGCAATACAATCAAAATTCCTGCACAGTTGGGTCATTATTGCTTATCAAATCGTGGAATTTGGGTGTGATATACTGGGATCAAGAGATATTTGGAAGGATATTGATGGATTTGGAGGGTTATCGAGAGTTTGGGAGGTGATCACCGCATAATTATTTTATTTTAAGCCCACAATATTTTCGCCAAATATTTTTAATTTCAATATATCCCTCATTATCCTCTCAAATCCCTTTATATCCCTCTTGAAACCAATTTTTCGACACTAGACTTGCTTAAAGATATATAATTATCATACTAAAAAGGAATATTAAACTAGCTAATAAAAAAGAATAAAGAAATAAGGATTAGGTAATTAATAGTTAAAAAAGGCCATTCAATTAGAGATGTCATTCAATTGGAGACTGTCATTTTATTTTTCATATACCCCAAAAAAGTGTCATTGAATTAGAGATGTCATTCTATTAGAGATGTCATTCTATTAGAGAAAATACGGTATCCATTTCCTTCAATTTATTATGAACAAAAAAAGGAATGGCTATAACCAGGGCATGTCAAAATATGCACGGAAAATCCATTAATATGCGCATATATAATATATATGCGCATATTAATGGATTTTCCGTGCATATTTTGACAAAAACACCATCCCCCAAAACACCAATGGACCCATCCCCCAAAAACACCAATGTGAACGAAGTCAGTCAACTTAACCACTCCACCATCAACCAACAAAAGCAAAGTGTCAGATTATGAATATGTATTTCTTTTCCCTTTCCTTTAAAAATTTCTATGTCAAAATATCTAAAGAATAAAAAAATACTAAATGAAAAAGGCGAAACAAATTTTGCATTCGGACCAAAAAGCGAAATGCGAAACGCGAAACTTTTCGCGCCAAAAAATGCGAGAATGCGAAAGATGCGAAACGCGAAATTGCGAAATGAGCCCAGCCCTGATATATATGCACCGAAAAAGCCCAAAATATGCAGTTATTTACATATACATAAATTTTAAAAATAGGACGAGGGTTGGAAAATAGTACTCCCCCCTCAATTAGTACTCCTCTTTGATAATACTCCCCCCTAGACCTAAATGATAAAACCCCCCTTTATTTATTTTTATAACTCTTTTTTTAAATTTCCTTTTAAAAAATCTTTTATTTAAAATTTTTTATTATCAAACATTTAGGGTCCCTTCTTAAAACGTTTTAGGCTAAAAATATTTAAAAAATGTTAATATACACTACTGGGATCTGGATTGAATTTTGCAAATTGGTCGAGATCCTGAACACGTTCAACCATAAATTTAAATAAAGAATAGACTGTAAATTTCATTTACTTTATTTTAATTTTGTTATTAAAAGTTTGCTTGAATAATCTTTTGTATTATTTAACGATTATTTTCATTTTATTATTCATAGGTTTAACTTTAGTATTTTAATTAAATCTGAGCGCTGATATTCTTCGGAATCATCGATCTTCTTCTAATAATTACAGGCGGTTGTTGGACAGGCGTTTGTTGCTTGGCTATATTTGTTGGAGATTTCTGACCAAATATATATGTGTAATAAATACTACAAATTGAAGCATCCTAAAATATAATATTTTAAGTAAGATTGGTTTTACTTAATATTAAGTTTCTTAATTTATTAAAAACTAAGAAAACTCTCTAATAAAAAATAAGATAATATAAATAACTATTTTATTTAATGTAATAGAAAAGGGAAAAATATTAAATATAATTAATTAAATAACTTACTACAGTACATAAAGTAATTGCCATTTCATTAGCTATAGACACAGAAGGTGTGATTGGAACCTGAAAATTCTTTAAAAATAAAATAATTTTTAAATAAATTATATTATTAATGGATACAAAAACTTAAAAGATTTAAAAATATTGAAAAAGCTCCAGGCATAACTTCAAAAAGAATTTCCATGTAAATTGCAAATTTGACCATACGATTTTTCTAAAAATAATGAATTACTTTATTAAAAAATACTTTTCAACCAAAATCATAGCTGCGCTTTGTGATTGACTTGCAAAATGTTTTAAAGACCAAAAGAAAAAAATGCAACAAATAAGATTTGCAAATCCAAACATATTTTTAATAAAAAGTTGAAATCTATTTTCATAAACAGTCATTAAGCAATCTACATAACGACAAGTCTGTGTAGCTGCTTTAAAAATTAAATTTAAAGTTTCTATTAAATTATGATACTTATATAGACTTTATCCAATTTGTTCAAATGATAGTTTATTCGAAAGTGCTTTTCGAGCTTAGTCTAATGAGACTAAAATAATTTAATAAATTCAACACTATTATATATAATGGAATCTGGGTCATTAGTAGAGACCGGACGGTACCGTACTAATGCCGTATTTTTGGGTATTTATCGGTGTTCCGTATCGGTAGTACGGCACGGAATACGGTACGGCAAAATTTTGAAGTTGATCGGTATTTTTCGGTATCGGTATTTTCGGTATTTCACTACAAAATATCGTTCAGTAGGAAATTCCGGTCTCTAGTGATTAGATTGTTGTCTAGTTATCCCTTTGGGAGAGCTTTAATCGTTAATAATTTAGCTTGAATTCAACCAAATTAAGTTATTTTTTCACATTCGACTCAACTGGAAGAGTTCATTTGTATATAATTCAAATAATTTTTTAAAAATTATTAAGAAATAGGGTACAATCTATACATAGTGTAGGATCAATATTTCTTTTAAAATAAAATTAGTTCATAGTATAATTTAAGTAATAATATTCTTAAATATATTTTATAGCTTAAATCACATTTAAAATTTTAATTACTTCTATTTAATGGAAGTTCATTCAAATAAAGTATTAAACTTATTAAGTAGCAAAGTATCAAGCAACAAGGTCCCATCCATTTAAATAGTGTTTCAAAGTATTTATTAAAATTTATAGCGGTAGACCAAAGAATCAAACAACGATCCAACATAAGAATAAAGGTTGCAATTGGGGCACATGCAAAATAATTTAATTGCCATATTCCTGTCCAAAATAGCACAATTTGTTCTTCAGGTGAGTGCAAATCAGAGGTACGTATTGTTTCATCAAGGGATTTCCAACGAATAAATTCACAAATTGGATAGGCCAAACAAGTAAAAGTGCAGAACAAATGAAACAAAAAATATGTCCACATTGATAAATTCAATTTAATAGCAAAAGTTTTACTGAAAACAAAGTTAAGCTCTATTCAAGTACATGAGACCAAAGAACCTTTATGCACAAGTCCTATGAAATCTGGTCATAGATACGGCTAATCAGTTTTTGCGTGTGATATTCAATGCCGATGTTAGAAAATAATTTAAGAAATCGAAACTATTATTTATTCATAAAAAATTTATTGGACGCATAAAAATTCCATGGGACTTATAAAAGTTCATTAGAAAACTTGATTAGGCCCAAATTTTTTTTAAATATTTTTTAAAGAAAGTTTTAATAAATATTTTCCAATTTTAATTTAAAAAACCACAACAATACATATGTATGTAAATATTATTTACCATTTAACTAAGAAAATAAGTTTTGATAGTAAAACAAGTATAATCAACTGAGCTATAATTAATGGTATCATAACAATAAATACATAAATTAATTCAAATGGTTTATTACTGATTATCAAAAGATATCTAACTGCTAATACTAGGACTAGTTGTGGTGTTATTTGATAAAATTAAATTAAACGATGAATTGGACATTTTTATATTTCTAATTTTAAATATAATATTTAATATTAAAATTATTGAAAGTGTTTGAGAATAAAAAATTTATAAAATTTGAAAATTATAAAATATTAAATATTTAGCTTTACAAATTTTTTAATTATAAAATTAAAATTTTGAATTTTTAAAAGAAGTAAAATAATTGGTGCGTAAAAATTATTTTTCTATTTTTAGTAATTATTAAGTATATTATGTTTAAGATACTGTAATAATAACACAGATATTTTCAAATTTAATCATTCATTCATAACCAATTAAAAAATTTATTTAATGACTTCTTTTTGTGTTTAATACAGGGCTCGCATCGACAAAACTTTTTTCACAAACTGTCCAAAAAATTCCAAAATTAAGAACCGAAATCCCTTTATTTTTAACAGTATTTTGAACGGTTAAAGAAGAATTTGTATAAGTAACCTCCTCATAAGCAGAAAATTCTTTGTGAATTGACGCTGAAGTTGAAGCAGTTAACTTTTTTGGTGATAAATTAACTTCTTTTAATTTTGATTGATTTTTTGCTATAATTATTGTTGTATCGGAAATAATATTTTGTGGTGTATCGACAGAAGAAATTACTTCATTTCATTGGAATAAAGTTAAATCAACATCCAAATCATTTTTAAAGTGTTTTTGTGTTAAAGATCTATGAAAAAATTTAAAAAATATAAATTTAAGAAAAATACTTAAAAAGTTCATGGTATTTAGAAGAACTCAGCTGACAATTTTCTTCAAAAATTTGAACAATTTTGTCAAAATTTTCTCGATTTTGCTTTGATCCCAAATAAGCTGCCCACATCAAATAAAAATCTGGAACATTTTTGAAATATCCAAGACGATGAACCTCTTCTAAAACGCCCTCCATACCAATATCAACGCTGTATTTTCCCTAAAATTAATTTAATTTTTTTATAATTCATCAATGAATGAACCAACAAAAGGACTTAAATAATCACACGTCTCTCCCAAGTAATTTTTGCGAACAAAATTTGCGGATCAATTTGTGTACCTAATTTACAAATCCATGTATGTCCTTACAGTTTAAATAATTCCGTGTAGCCAGTGTATAAAGCAGGATGTATTGAATAAAAATCGATTTTGGGATGTAATGTACCGGTGGTAAAAGTTCGGGACGATACATATGTCATTAGCTTCGTCTCGTCGACCTGCGTCGACGATACCATTCAAATGATCGTGGACCGAGGTATAGGTCTCAGAAAATTGAAAAACAATAGGGGATTAAGTTGAATTTTGGGATAAAAAATTCGAATCTGCACATACCATACTAGCTCATTTGAAAGATCCTGAAGAACTGAGGTGGCATGATTTGCTTGTCACGTCCCACAAGCTTTTACCTATGGCACACTACATTATCGAGATTCTGGTACTACTATATCCTCAAGTGTTTCTCGTTGCAAAAACCCTAACTTTGTTCGCAAAATTTGTTCTCAAAAAATTAATTTGAAAAATTTTTTATTTACCATAAGATACCAAAAATCAAGCATTCGGGGATCACTTTTATAGTTTTTCCGAATAAAATGTTTTAAGGACGAAATAACCAGAGATCTAATTGTTTTCCATTTTTCTGGACCATCCTTCATACAATCTTCAAGAGAATTTACTTGCCTAAAAAATTAAAGTTTTTAAATAAAATTTAAATTAAAAAACCTTCGCATAAAATCAAAACGTTTTTCGTCATTCTCAATTGTCTTTGCCATTCTTAAAATTTGAAATCAAAATATTTTTAATATTTGTTAAGGATTTACTTTATTATGGCGTAACTAAACGAGTCATTTTTTGCATTTGTCATTTTCTTAACTTTTTAAAATTTTGCCTAAAATCTGTATAATGAAAATTAAATTAAATCAAGGGGAAAATTAAATTAATTAAAAAAAATATTTTTTTAATTATTTCACTCAAAAACAAAATAAAACTCGAAACAAACAAGTTTAATTAATTCGGCTTGGATTTCCTAAGTTTTATTAACTAATTTCCTAAAAATAATTTTGAGTAAACAAGTTTAAGTTTGCACTTAAAAGTTTTATAAAGTAAATTAATTTCAGTATAGTAAATAAGGGATTAGCATTAATATTATTAAAAATTAAAAAATTAAAAGTAAATAAATTTAGATACATATTGAGAATAAATATTCATTAGAAAGATACGTCAAAAAATTAAATAAACATAGTAAAACTGTTTACATTTAAAAAAATGTCTAAAAAAATAAATAGAAGAAAAGTGCAAAAAATAAGAGAAAAAAATGAAAAATTAAAAAATGATTTTTAACCAATTAATTGACAAAAAATCTTAACTGAGAATTTTATAGAAACTAACAAAAAAAGCAAAAAACTAACAAATATAAAGAAAAAGAAAATATAAATTAGGCGTCAACTAAGTGAAAATACAAGCCTTTTTTGAATTATATTTTGACGCCTATAAACTGAATACAAGCAAAATCAAAGGGTCATCAAAAATAATTTGGTGTTGAACAAAAAATATGTAGAGTTTTCATTCCAGACAGGGTGTGACCTTTTCCAAACACAAAAATAGGGGGAAAATGAGGTCGCTTCTTTTTTGATTAAATTTTTAGGGGTGTTATTTTTTAATAAATTGTTACCGTATTTCTTGTGTGTTGTTATTAAAGATTTTTATAAAAATGAATTTATTAAAGGTTTTGAATTTTTTGTTTATTTTCACATTTTTGTATTAAATCGATCTATACCATATTTTACAAGTTACTTATTTAATTTTATCACTAAATCTCTATACAAATCTAAATTATATTTTCTATTGCAGACCTAATTATTGAGGGAAATATTAAAATACCTACCTAATTTATTCTAAGGAAAATTAAATAAAAAAATTTTTACATTATTAAACACTAAAAAACTAAATAATAATTAAATAGAATATATTCTGAAATTTTTAATTTAAGAATTTATCTTGATTGCTGATGTACTGTATTTACATGATTTTCCTGTTCCTTCTACTGTTGGAACAAAACTGGCTAATGGAGAAAGTGTCGAGACTGATTGATTTGTTGCTGCATAGTCCTTTAATTTTTAATTCATTTTTAATTCATTCTAAAATAAGCCCCCCGCGAGGTCGATCGAAAAAATAAGCCCCCTCTAAAATAAGCCCCCTCCTAAAATAAGCCCCCTCCTAAAATAAGCCTCCTCCCCTATAAAATTTTTAATTGTTGATTAATTGTTGTGTCCCCCTAGTTGAGTCTCCATGGTGGGATATAGAAGGATTAGAAGTGATTAAGAGGGTATTTGGAAGATTAATGATATATAAAGGGATCAATGTACATAGATATCGAGGGATTTGAGGTGATTAATAGCGATATCGGAGGATTTGTAGGTTTAATGGGATATATATGGATAGTGAAAATTAAAAGAGATTAGGACGGATATCGGGGGGAGTAAAAGGGATTTCTGTAGATTAAGAGATTAATAAATTTCGGTGATTAACAAGGATTTCAAGGATTAATGTGAGTTCATTGGATTAAGATTGTTTGAACGGATATCCGGGGATTTTGTTGGATATTAGAGATATTCGCTTTTGTAGAAATGTTGTAGGTTTAAGTGGAGTCATGGGTCTCGAAAGATAAGGACGATATCTGGCAAATTCTTCGCTATATCTTCTAAATCCTATTAAATCCATTAATAACCCTTTTAATTTCTGAAAATGCTTTTTAATCTTTATCCCCCAACATCTCTTAATCTTCCAAAATCCCTTGATATCCCTACCAATTCCCAAAACACAAAATGCTCACTCTAAATGTCTCAATATTCAGTTTAATCTTCCGATATCTCCAACTTAAAGGCATACCTAAGCTGAAGGATCAATTGACAGAGTAATTGATGAGTTTTTGGACAAGGATTTTTCTTGAAGAGACTTAGTATGGGATGAATTTTATTGAATTTTAGAAAAAATTTTACTAAATGTTTGGTAATAAATTTTAGTTTTTCACTACTCAAATTCACTACTCAATTTCACTACTCAATTTTTCACTACTCAAATTTCTTTACTCAAAATGGAAACCAAATTGGTTAGTAAAATTTTAGTTTAGAAGATTTTAGTTATATTTTTAAGGTAAAGCAGTATTATTGAAAGATAATTATGACTCTTATCAGCAAGTTGTTTGGTTAAGATGTTGTTCTGTAGAAGCAAATTTTGGAAATAATTTGGAAACAAAGCCTTTTTGTTATAACATTACAAAACATTTTGTAATTAAAGAATTTTATGAGGACTCTGATGTTGATTGATTGGAAATGACGAGAAAAATCATTTTTTTTAATAAATTTGTTGTTTTTGAATAATTCGTTTTATAAGAGTTTACCGGATAAAACATTCAACATTTCATTTTTACTCATCAGTTCATCAGAGAAAACCCAAAAAAAGTTGCCTTTTTTCAAAAATACAAGTTTTTGTACACTCGGTTCCAAAAGTATACCCAATTTTTTTCTAAATCTCCAGCTAATTCAATTTTTAAATAGGCTATGATTAATTTGAAATATTTTTTAGACCCATTCTAAAGATCTGATAATGTAATTTTATGCGCTATGAAAATATACGAATAGAAATTAGGGGATATTTGACTTTACACAAAATTAATGCGTTCCAAAAGTATATAGCCACCTTAGTTTTATAGGTTTTCAATAGTGTGAAAAATTCTCAAAAATTTTTGAGAACATATCTATCAATATACATAAGAAATACAAAAGAAATGAAGTTCTGATGTACTCCCATCATCGAGATCTTGAAACCCGAAAATCAGCGGAAAACCAAGGTAGAAGTCTTTAAAAAATATTTTCGACACCTTACAGGTAGAATAAAAATTTCTTTTTGGTTTTATTTGAAAGCCCGTGAAATTTGCTACAAGATAGTGTTCATCTCATAATCCAGAAAAAATCAATCTATGAGAAATAGTGAGTTTAGTTTATAAGTTACATTTTTATCGCTTTTTTGGGGTGTGTGTCGTATCTATATTGATAGATATGTTCAGACAAATTTTTGTGGATTTTTACCACTATTGAAAACCTATAAAACTAAGGTGGCTATATACTTTTGGAACGCATTAATTTTGTGTAAAGTCAAATATCCCCTAATTTCTAATCGTATATTTTCATAGCGCATAAAATTACATTATCAGATCTTTAGAATGGGTCTAAAAAATATTTCAAATTAATCATAACCTATTTAAAAATTGAATTAGCTGGAGATTTAGAAAAAAAATTGGGTGGCTATATACTTTTGGAACGGAGTGTATTTTACCTCTAACTCCTTCAACTTAATCCTAAGATTCTGATTTTTCGCCAGAAAATAAGCAACTTTCTTAGGATCATAAAATATAAAATTTGAAGTCTGAGTACACTTAATTGAAGTTTATTATTTAATCCGTTTGGCACAAGGGGCTCATCTATGTCTCAACATAAGTATAAGAATAAGATAAAAAGGATTTAGGTAGAATAATGAAATTAAGGAGTTTTAAGGTAGATATAGAGGCATTCCCTCTATAATACTCGTGTTTTAATCAAAATAAATAATAAACGCAGCATGTTTATTTTAACTAAAATTTCATTAAAATTGCTTCTCGTTAAACGCACAATAACTGTGTTATATTTTATTGAAAGTGGATTGGGCAAGCTAATACTTGGGAAATTCATTGTGAAAGAAGACTACTACAGAGCTGGAATTACCGTGGCTGTTGGGAACTACAACGCAAAACTGCATGTCAGGCTAACATGCGAGGTGTAACTTAATTTTGATGATGTAGGGCTTGTGTCCTAAACAAAAGTACCGGACAATTGCTGGGATCATTTTTGGGCGAGATATGGACCTATAGAGGGGCTTACTACAACCAAAATTTCAATAAAACTGTTACAATAAGTTTGCTAAAAGATACACTTTTCTTTAATTAAAAATAATTCATATTTTGTTTAACATTAGCTAACTATTGTGCTTATCTTATAGTTAGAGCTTTTTATTATTTTACAAAAATTAGTAAATCCTTCTTAATAAAAACATTCAGCACAGCCTGGATTTGCTGATGACATTGAAGAAGAAGCTGGACATCTTGAGAAACGTGGATGTTTACATTGTTGCGTGCGAATGTTGTATTTGTAGCATCTTGCTCATTTAACACGAAATTGTCTTGATTTAAGATAAATTTATAATATCGATATTAGATATCTTCGAGAATTACTGAGGTACTTTCTTAACAAAATAAAAAAAATTTTATTCTACATATTTATAAAACAAAATAATGCAGACTTGTGCATGGATACGGATTTTGCTATCCGTATCCGGATATATCCGTGGGGTCAATATCCGTATCCGTTTGTATCCGTCCGACTTTTGAGTCATATCGATCCGCGGATATCCGCGGATATATTCGTTTTTTCTCAAAATGGTCAACTTTACTAAAATTTTCATAATGGTCAGGTTCATTTAAATTTAAAAAAGGTTATAAAAATGGGTTGAAAACTGTATTGTAATAAACGGAACACACTCAGACACAGTAATCATTCAGTAAGAAAGTGTGGGAGCGGGCGCCGCAGGCGAAAATTTTAAGAATTTTGGAAGGCCAAGAAGCCAGATTTTTTCGATTTCCAGCGCCGCAGGCGAAAATTTTGAGAATTTTGAAGATCATGAAGCAAAAAATCTTTTATTTTTAGCGCCGCAGGCGAAATTTTTGAGAATTTTAGAAAGCCGTAGGCCAAAAAAATTCACTTTTTTACCCAATCCCCTCAACAAATTTATCCCTATTCCCCATTTCGAGGGGGGGGGGGCTTCTGAAAATTTTAAAAATTTTCGTTTGGTCAGCTAAAATTGAATTTTTTGGCTTAAAACCTTCCAAAATTCTAAAAAATATGCCATGAGTAGGGCACTCTGAGCCTTAGAGTTTGGGAACGTCGGGGATCAGGGTTTGCCGGGGAGGGCAATTCGTGGTCCGGGGTCGTGGTTGACTTTTGGGTCGGGGGTTGGGGTCATGTGCGTGACTCAATTATCTCCTGCCGTTGGGAATATAATTATTTTCTCTTGGCAAAATGTATTTTTCAAATTTAATCAGTGATGTTTAATTGCAGAAATTGGGGACGGATATCCGCGGATTTGGAGCATCATATCCGTATCCATCCGTATCCGTCCGATTTTTAAAAAAACACTATCCATATCCGTCCGTATCCGCGGATATCCGCGGGTATCCGCGGATATTATCCGTATCCGTGCACAAGCCTGAAATAATGTTTAGAATTTAAAAAATTAAAATAGATGATTTTAACTGATAAAAATTACTTGAAAACAAAATTAATCAGAAAAAAATTTTCAATAAAATTCTTTAAGAATTGAATGTTTTAAAATGTCATATTTAAACGGTTTTAACTCCAAATTGCTTCCAAAATTTGTTTCAACAGAACAACATTTCAGTTGAACAAATAGTTTATATGAATCAAAATTGTCCTTTAATAATATACCCTTACCTTAATAAAGGAATTTTTATAAAAATATTTTAATTAAATTGTTACCAATTTGTTTTCCATTTTGTGTAAAGAAAACGTAAGGAAATTCTTCGGCTAATTTATTAGTTGAAGGATAAACTAATCCACAACCAAAAATATCACTATTATTCCAAGAAAGATTTGGAAGTTTAAAAGCTTCATGATTCTTGTTATTCTCGTTATAAATTGTAGGAGGCATAGCATAATAAAAAATTCTTTTATCTGAAATACTATTTCTGAGACCAATATAAATAGTTTTCTCATCTTTATTTAAATTTCCTTCAAATATACATTTAACTTCAAAATAATAGAAATAATTGGAACAATTTTGTAGTTTTTTAAATGCATTTTCTGCATAAACAGAACCAATTTCATTACGTCCTATAAATATTTACATCAAACTAAAGTCAAAAAGTAAACAATTTACTATGAAAAGCACGCTTGTAATAAATATATTTAATATTTTCATCATTAATTAAATTAACATATCCATTTCCATTAATGCATTTACCAGTTGGTTCGAATGTATTTATACACAAATTGTCAAAACATTTCCAATGATTGGCAATATGACTCCATTTATTTTTAATTTCAACAAAATTCTTTAAAAATTATTGAAAAATTTTATTTTAATTTAGTATAAACTAACACATATTTACAAGATATATCGTTGAATTTTATTTTTAAATCGCTACTCATTTGGTCACATAAATGATTTGTCTTCTATATAAATTAAATTTTAATTTGTTAAATATTTTTATTAATTAAAAGCATTTTTTATAAGGAAAAGGAAGATGCATAAAATTAGAATTATAAAATAATTACATACTTCCCTATTCAATTGTATTGTAAAATTACCAAAATAGGTCCGAATTGTGGGCCATAGTCAACCAAACGCATCATGTAAAATACGTCGGTTGTGTACTTTAATGAGTCAGTGAACACTCGATCAGTTATGTATATGGTAATTCTTGAATTCGTACCCACTTTTTCTGACCAGTTTTTTCGTTTTTCCTTCCCTTTCTCCCTTATTTTTCATTTGGCAAGTCTAAGTTTTTGAGCCTAAGTTTTTTTCGAGCCTGAATAATCTAAAGATTTTGAGTCACACTCAAAAGAACTCAAAAAGTAAAATTATAACACCTATAATAATTTTTAGTAATTTTAGAGGATATGCTCCACAATTATATTAATACATATGTATATAATTTTCATTAATAAAACTTTCACCTCAAGATTTGGAACATTAACTTTATGGGTTTTCAAATCATTAATTATAACATTGATTTGATTCTTTTGCATTATAGGCTGTATCTAATTTTTTGATTGATAGGTTTTAATTTTTAATTTTAAAAAAATTTAAAAAAGCTTAACACCATTTATTCCACCTTGTAAGATTATAAAAAATTGTAAATGTTTCACTACAAAAATTTCCTAAATTCACTTTTGGCATTTTTCCAAATTAAAAGAAATTTAATTCTAATAGACAAAAATGATTGAGAAAAATTGAGAATATGCCGAAATTTAAGGAATTTGGCACTTTTCCCTTGATTTTAGCATTAACTTACACTTGGATTTTTTGTCGTAATATTACATAACTTTGAGTTAACTCATCACCAGAATCATCAGAACTATCTGCTTCTTCGACAAAAAGTTGTTTAATATCATCCAAAGTAGCAGGATCTCGGCAACGAGGACAATTTTGGAACTAAAAATGTTAAAAATAGAATTTAAAATTTCCTTTACTCCTTCAGAAATCCAACGAGCAACACATTCGTGATGGAATGTGTGATTACAATTTTTTAAAGTATAAACATTGTCAGGACGTAAACGAAATTGGCAAACAGTACAACGGCCAAATTTGTAATAAACCATTTTTATATTCTAAAAAATTAAATTAAAAATTCCAAGAATAACAGAATATGATAGTGGAATTAGGAAAAAACTAAAAAATAAAACATTGATAAAGAATACGAATAATCGAAAAGTTTTAATAGAACTTTCTTTTAAAAGGGAGAATTTTTCATTGAAATATTCAAGCGTAACCAAATAATTATTTATTTTTCAAATATCAGCAGGAAAAACCTCAACAAACGGAGAAAAAGTTTTTTTAAATATTTGCTCACTCTTCTCTTTTTCACTTAAATAATTACATATTATTTTTCATCATGACATTTGTCTAAGTTTTACTATAAATTCAAAGTACCAAGCATTATATCATTAATATATAGGTCAAAGTATCTTTGTTTAATAAAACACTTTATTTTTAAATATATGCTTTAGGTAAAAAAGCGTAATAATTAAATACTGCCAAAATAACCCCAAGCTGTTGAAAATGCATATTTTTCTCTTTGGACGAAGTTTTGGTCATACGAAGAAGTTTTGGTCGGCCGAAGTTTTAGTAGGACGAAATTTTGTCCGACAGAGTTTTGTCGGTCGAAGTCGTGTCCGTTCGAAGTTCTGCCCTCACACGCCTTATAAGAGAGGGAAGAAGAGAAGTAGATTGATTAACCGGGAGAGTGATCAGCCGGGAGATTGATCAACAGTGAATTTTATTCGGATTTATTACCCATCAAAACAATTTAACATTTTTTATTTTTTTATATATGTATTCCCTCAACAAATAAATTAATAATCAGTATTTTTCCTCTCTCCTTTTTCCCAACATATAAATATTCACAACAAAACAGTCTCTGAGCAAAATATTCTTCACTATATAAATATTTTTTAAATTCAATTACTTAGTTAACTCCATAAGGTAAATGTCCGGTTGGTGTCCTACATGTCCGCAAAGAGAATGCGCATTTTTCCTTCCTTTTCATGCATTTTTTTCTTCAAGGAGTGGCGCCCATTTTTCTCTTATGTATGGTAGGTTTTGGCACGTGGAAGGAAAGGAAAAATAATTAAAATTACTAAGTAGAAAACAAATGATAAATAAAGAAAATTTAGATAAAGAAACAAATTAGGTAATGAGTCAAAGATGAATTTCGAAAAAATTAGAATAAGAATTGGTTTTTAAGTTCTTGAAGAATTAAATCATGTTCACAGATCAGTTCTATTGTGTATATAGATGAGACATTTGCAGAAGCTGATTTGTCAAAATATCTTAAATTCCATTGGGTAATATCCCTACATTATAATCCCATTAAAGTTTGTTATCCCGCTGATATATTAAAAATATATTTGAGAAAGCTATCACAAAAATCCTTAATGATTATTTTTTTCTTTTCTTCATGAATTTCTGGATTCCATTTTTCGACGATTAAGAACTCGATATTGAATCAAAAGGGTTAAATCAGTTGGATATGAACACCAAACAGTAAATCATCTCTGATCGTTTATACAATAAAATATAAATTTATACTTTATTAGTAATTAATTTTAATTATATTTCCTTTCTTTTCACGTGCCAAAAGGCATAAGAGAAAAAACCATACATAAGAGAAAAATGGGCGCCACTCCTTGAAGAAAAAAATGCGAGAAAAGGAAGGAAAAATGCGCATTCTCTTTGCGGACATGTAGGACACCAACCGGACATTTACCACTCCATAAATTTTTGAGATGCTCATTTTATAGGCGACTTGAATTTTTAAATTTATTTTTAAATCGAATTAAATTAGATTATAATTTTTTCCAATAATTTAAAATTTACGTAAATTAAAAAAATATTGGTACTTTATGGATATGTCACCCCCCCCTCCTATTTTGAGTCTCAGAGTTTTCCTTATACGTAGAAAATGGTCAGAGATTGTTTTCTTCTCCATGTCAATCATTTTTTTTCTTCAAGCAAAATAAGTGAAATGTGGAAATTAAATGAGTGAAATTAATCAAAAATATGTGAAAAGGCAAAATAAACAAGCAAAATACTTGAAGAGGAAAAAAATGATTGACATGGAGAAGAAAATAATCTCTGACCATTTTCTACGTATAAGGAAAACTCTGAGACTCAAAATAGGAGGGGGTGACATATCCATAAAGTACCAAAATATTTATTTTAATAAAATTTTTAAATAAAATTCATTTTTTTTCTTTTAAATAATTTAATTAAAAACATTCAATAAAATGGCTGAAGAAGAAGGATTATCAACAAGTTCTGATTGGATTTTGGTTGAAAAAGAGGGAAATGATTTTAAAAAATTTGAAACTAATTTTGAAAATCTTCAAAAAGAATTTGTTGAAGAGAAGGAAAAGACTGTTAATCTTAAAAGAAAAAATGATTTTCTTGAAGATGAATTGAAGGAAATGGATAAAGTTTGGATGTTTTTTGTAGAATATTTTTTAAAAATTAATGTTTAGAAAATTCAAAAAATAGATTCTGATCACAAAAACGAAATCGAAGAAATGAAGGAGAAGTTTCAAAAATTAAGTGATAAATTTCAACAATTAAAAGATGAAAATGATCAAAAAGACGAAAAAATTAATTCTTTGGGAGAAGAAATAAATAAGGTAAATCTTGTAGGCGTAGAGTGAGTCTTGTAGGCGTAGAGTGAGTTTGAATTAAAAATTTCCCTTCCATTTACAGTAATTCGCATATTATTTATAAATGTCTGACCTATTAGTTGTATAGGTGCTACATTATCTGTAGCAGCCAGTTTGACCAATTTTCCATCTTCACTTTCCTTTTTTATGCGAAATTCAGTGAACAGATATACTTTTGATAGGTCTATGTAATTTTGACTACTATGAATCTTAAAATGAATGGGTGTATCAGTAACAGGATTACTTGGTAAGATTTCAAAGACTTTGGATGAAGAAATACTTACATTTGTTGGTGGTACTTGGAAAAAATCAAGGGCATTTGTAATAGAATTTATACTATCGCGATCAATTTTATGAAAACTCATGTTTAATAAAAACCAAAAGCGTCAGATTTTAATCGTTTTCTTTTAATAACTGTTTGATGACTGGGGGTTGGTTTCCTTTTTATACCTCTTCCAGATCCAAATTGTTTAGGTAAGCCTCCTTTCTCAAGCACGACATCTATCCCCTTCTTCCCTTCACTGACTAGGGCTTCTTTTATAGGTTCCCCTTGAATGACCCTTCCCAGTGCACGTTGACCTGTGTTTAGTGCCTCTTCTGAAACAGTGGTACCTACACGTCGCATAATTGGTAGGAAAAATCTCCAAAGTCCTCTCATAATATCCCCAATGCCTGCACCCCTTTGACCATAACCTCTCTGAAAGGGAGCTGCACCTTTAAAATAGTCATCAGTAATTCCTCCTCCTTTCATTGGAAGAATAAAATCGTCATAACTCACAGTACTTGTATCAAATAAAATGTGCACCATTTTTAATTTGTAAATGAAAATCAGAAATTTATCACCTTCTTAAATATTAGGACCAGGAGCACTGTACCGAATTCAAATGGTACAGGTCGACCGTTATCCATTGTTCTCAGTTCAATCTCAATCTCATTAACTTCTTTTGGTAAAACTCGGGCATAAATTGGTGAATCATATATTTTCTCATAATATTGTCCTGGGGTGGCTCCTGCTACAGAAACAACTCTTAGGAGTGAACTAAGTGAATTCCCTATTATCATACTTTCAGTAAGTCCTTTGGAATATACAGCGAAACTTGAGAAACCTCCTCGTAAATCACACCCGTACTTGGCAATTTCATTGTTTAATACCATATTTGGATTTTGGAACCCTAATACATAGCCTAATTGATTGGAAAAGGAAACATATTTTATGCTTGGGTGAGTGAAAGTGACTTTGAAACGTTCAAAGTCACTATGATAGAATAATTCTATCGAATCTATAATTTGCTTTTGTGTAGTTGAGTCTACTTTGTTTACTTTACCATATTTCTTTACAAGTATAGGCATATTTGGTAGATAATTTATCCTTGCTTGAGGGGTTATCTTCTGTCCAAGATTTGCAAGTACATGGGTAAGTACTCGTTCATATTCTTCAGTCCATAAAGGGTCATTAAATGTAGCTTCAGGTTTTGGGAGTTGTGGAAGTGTAGGTGAACTGGGTAAGGATTGTCTTTCAGATGAGGATGAAGGAGATGGGTTTCTTAAATCTTCCTCTTGTGTTAGAGAAAGAGAAGTGGGTAAAGAAGGTTGTATTGTCTTTGGTTGTGGAGTGGGTTTTGGTGTTTGAGGAGTTAGTTCTTTTGATGGTTGAGGAGAGGGTTTCGGAGGTTGTGGTGTTGTAGGCTTTGGAGGTTGTGGAGTGGGTTTTGGAGGTTGAGGAGCAGGTTTTGGTGGTTGAGTAGCGGGTTTTGGTGGTTGAGGAGAGGGTTTCGGTGGTTGAGGAGAGGGTTTTGGTGGTTGAGGAGAGGGTTTTGGTGGTTGAGGAGAGGGTTTCGGTGGTTGAGGAGAGGGTTTTGGTGGTTGAGGAGAGGGTTTTGGTGGTTGAGGAGCGGGCAAGTTTAGGAGATTATTTTGGCAAGTTTAGGAGATGACCTACGGGATTCTATTTCCCTTTCTGCAGAGGATGAAGGGGATTGTTCTCTAAGTTCTCCTTCTTCCTCTTCGGCCGATGATGAAGGAGATGGCATCCTAAGTTCTCCTTCAGGGGATACACTACGTTTTGGTCTGCGGACACTTGGAGGTTTGACTAGTGTCTCGGGTTTTTCCAAGGATGATCCTTCTATAGCTCCTACTTGGTGTTCTAAAGTAGATAATAAAAATTGATGTAAATCTTCTACAGTGGTGTGTGAACCTTTGGGAACGGGTACACGAATAATACTAGCCCTTCCATCAGTTTTGGTAAAATGGATGTCAATCCATTGCTCATCAAGGGTACCAATAGTTGAGGGCCATGAATATGGATAACTTATACTATGCAAACCACATACCCAGTCTCCAGAAAAATAAAGAGGTCTAGGTAGATGGACGCGAAATTTATTTGGTCGATTATCTGGATAATCGGAAACATTACTAGGAAGAAAAACAAAGAAAGTATTTGACATTTTTATCAAAAATGAAATAATGAACAATTAAATGAGCTTTTATACTAGTTGGGTCTCATGGATCCATTCTCTTTCGGGATAACCTATAAATTTTACTAAAAGATCGTAAGTCCCATCCGGTCTCTTTTTCTTTCTTACAACCTTTTCTATTCTATATTCAGTATCAGCATCCTTACGAACTCGAGCTAATTCCTCTCCGTAAAATGATCCTTTGAACTTTTCACCTTTATCATCTTGGACTTTGTAACGTATTGGATGAACATGTCCTTTAACCTTTTCTACTTGGAGTATTTCATCACCCCAGTTTGAAATATAACCCTTCTCGAACACTCCCTTTCCAAGACTCATTCGAACATAATCTCCTTTTTTAAGTTTTGGGGTTGTCTTTTTATCTGAAAAAACATCTCCATATACCTTCTTCCATACCTCTTGAGCATTGTCAAAATTAACATCAATAGGTCTCATTCCATGCACCCTACTTTTTGCTTTATTTATTCCTTCTAAAATTTCTGGGAGGACTTGAATCCAGTCTAAGGTCTTATTTTGGGCAAAATAACGGTAAATACGTTGTTTAATATGTCTAATAGCCCTTTCAGCTAGTGCTGCTTTTACTGTGGAGTGAGTTGGTTCCATCTTGTGAATTTCCTCATTTTGAAAAAATTCGTTCATTTGAGAATTTTTAAATTCTTTTCCCTTATCCGAAAATATACGGTGTGGTTTCATAGGCATTTGTTTCATTAACTCAGTGAACGCGGTTACCATATTCTCTGCAGTTTTTGATTTTACAGGCACCCCAAATATTCTCTTAGATAAAACATCAATTCCCAAAAGCAAATATTTATTCCCTTTGTTATGTCTTGCGATTGCTTGAAAATCAGCCAAATCTACTTGGACGTCTGTCATAAAGCCTGCGGGTATTGTCAAGGCTCTGTTAAAATGAATACGTCTCGGTCGCATTAACGTATAAGTCCTGTGCCCTTCTAAATAATCTTGCACAACGTTTTTAGGTATATGTTTGAGTACTTTTCTAGCCTCCTTCCATAGTCTATCCACACCTGAAAAGGCAGCTGGAGACTCTGGATTATTGTACAAATCTTGTAAAAGTTTAGTATAATCACCCATTTTTACCACAATGAAGGTTTAAATGATTTGTTATTTGCTTTGCGCTTTGCTTTTATAAGCCTCTGCATCCATTCTTTGCTTGCTCTTGCGGATTGTTTTTTCGTAACGGGTTTGACTCTCTTTAACGTTAAGAAGGGGCTTTCGTCTGGACCTTGCCACTTTCGTTTTAACTTTTGACGCCTTCGAATGTCATCCTCTTGTCTAGCCTTTAACATTGCTGATTGGTCTAGGGGGATTTTTAGTTTTCGTATACCACTTCTTTTTAATTCCCTTTCCTTTTTCCCTTTCCTAATATTTTCTAGCCTTTGATCCTCTCTTATTTTTCGTAGACTTTCCTTTTTCTGTTCTAACTCATCAATCCTTTTCCTTTTATCTTCCTCAATATTAATATATTGTAACCTTTTTGTTCCTTGTGGTGGTGGTGGTACAAATGTAACCTCCTTATGGTATTGTGGAGTATAAGGAATTTTTTGTTCTCTGATAGCCTTCTTCCTTTCTAAATATTGTCTCTTCTTTTCCTTCTTTCTATAGTCATCAAAACCATCATCACTTTCTTTTTTAATTGGTTTGATTTCGTAATCTATCAAAGGTCTTCTTTTATTGCTACCTATCTCCTCTTCACCTCTTTTTCTTTTCGGGGGTTTATAATAGGTAGTAGATTTTTTCGGTTTTAATGTAATTATAGGTTTAATGTCTGGCAGGATAGGCGGTATAATGTTATAAGATGGTGTCTCTTTTGGATACGAACTAAAGGACATATCATCACTCATCCATATATTATCGTCGTCTTCCCCAATATTTGAAGCCGGAAGGGAGGCTGTAGTATTCATAATTGCACCCTTTGGACTAGCAACCATCTCCACCTTAACCGGTCTATTTTGCTGCTCGTTTCTTAATTGCAAATATCGCCTAAGCTCCTGATTATAGTGTACATTTTTTGCACTAGGTGTCTCCCTTTTCAATTTTGTTTTCTCTAAACCTTGACGAATAAAATCCAAGTATGGTTCCCCTGTATCTTGGGTTGTCAAACCTTTGTAAATTTCTTCAGGAACTAGAATAAATTTATTAGCCATAATTTTAATTTTAAATTAAGATGTGCCTGGGGCTTTTATAGTCAGCATCCTAGCCATTTCAATGAGAACGGGTGTTAAGAGGGCTGCAAAGACTCCCACTCCATCACCTTTTTGATTAATAACATGTCTGGCTCCCCTTTCGCTCCTAACCCTACTCAAACTTCGTACAAATTCTGCATGGGGTAATAATCTTTTCTTTTGCCGAGTTGTAAGTTTGAACCTCTCTTTTACTATATTCAAACAAATTTCAGCTAATGCTAAAAGTTGTTCACTATTTGACAATTTTAAGAGTCTTTTCCTTTTTCTTCTAGATTTGGTCTTTGACAATAAATGTAAAAATTTTATATTTTCAGAAATTAATTGATTAACCATTTTTTGGAAAGAAAATTATCTTTTCATCATCTTCCTTAAATATGTTGGTCCTAAGACGCAGGGTAGGATCTGAGGAAGCATGCATATCGATGAGCAAGTAACCATAAGGTTGCTTGGTTGCTTGCCGATATGAGTCTAGAAAATAGTCCAACTGTTTTGGAAATAGGTGCACCCCTATGTTTCTGATGGAAAGCATTGAATTGGGTGCTCTCATTAACATGAGGTACTGAGAATTTTGTCGTGCTACTTTAATTTTCTTATCGAATAAATTTTGTGTAACAAAAATTATAGAAAAATTTTGATGATGAGATTTCTTGGTAAACAATTCAGATAGATATTTTTCATCAATAGAAAGATTCAAATCATCGAGAATTAGTAAAAGAGGCTTGGGATATTTTTTGATTAAATCCTCAGGGGGAACCCCAGAAAATACATCAACTCCAGATTTTTGTAAGAGTGGTACAATATTGTTCATTTCTCCAAAGCAGTAAAGTATAGACTTTGGTTTAGTGTAAATTAATTCTTGAGCTTCAGATATTAGTCTTAGTAGGAGGGTACTTTTACCACTTGAACTAGGACCAGATATAATCATCCCAAAAGGTAATTTAAATTTTAAATCTTTATCCGAGAAAGCTAATGAATTCATAATAAATATTTATGGATATACGAAATTTTCACTTAAATATCATTTTAATCGGTTGGAATGCCTGTAACCGATGCATCTAGACTCTGGAAGAAATCATCCAATTCATCCATTGTTGGAAGGTTATCCAAGGGTTGGGGTGTCTGTGTCACTTCTTCGGGTATTTCGGGCGGACTATGTGGTTCAGCTGGTTCAGTTTTGGGGCAAGGAATGTGAGTAGTATCGTTGTACGGTACATTAAAGACTCGTCCTTTGTTCTTTACTTTGAAGAAACAATGACCTGGTAAATCGTATAATGAATCGAAGGGAACAAATCGACTTCCTTCAAAGCGGGTGCAATAGACTACAACCCCTTCCTTTACTATGATAAAATCCAATTCGACTTCAGTGCTCTTGCACTTACGACATTTCCCTCCTTGGTCGTAAGGAAGAAAACGGGGGTTTGTATAGCGGACACTGGAAATTGTAATCCCTGTAGCTGAGATGTTAAACTCAACTTCAGGGCCCGTAGAATAAATTCGGGGTAAGGGTTATTCAACCCCTACCTTGGGGTTAAATAACCCGTAACCCGTAGAATAAATTCAAACCCCTAGCTTCGGGTTAAATGACCGGGTCAGATAACCCGGTTATCTGACCCGCGTAACATTACCGGTAGAATAAATTAATTACCCGGGTTAAATAACCCGCAGGTAAGGGGCAAATTGCAACCCTACTAGGGGGCAGGGTAACATGCGAATTATGCATAATTTCCAAAAAATTAAAACATTTATTAAATTGCAAAATTTTTAAAAATTTTAATTTCTTATCAAAACGCATAAAAAAATTTTTAACAAAAATTTTTTAATTTTTTTAACAAAAATTTTTTAGCAAAAACTCTTACAAAAATTTTTGAAGCAAAATTTATTCAACAATTAAAAATTTTATAAATTTTTTAAACTTTTTCATTTGACTATATCTCTTTTTAATAATAACAATTATTGCGTAAACAATTATTGCGAAATGGATATGGCAATGAAATATAAAGGGTCAAATAACCCAGTAACTCAACTAGTTAAATAACCTTTAGCTCGGTGTTAAATAACCCTTAACTCGGGGTTGAATTTATTCTACCGATTTTAACCCGTAGCTAAGGGTTATTTGCCCCTGGGTTGTTTAACCGGGTTATTTAACCGGGTTATCCAACCCCGAATTTATTCTACGGGCCCAGGTAATATTTTTGGGAATTTTATATCGGACATTTTGAAAAAATGAAAGATTTTTCAATAAATCGTCCCTTTTTATACCCCAGATAAACGAAGAATCAAATTGACAAATGATACAAATACATTTCACCAAAATACATTTCGGTCAAATGTGCAACGCCCCAAAATGGTATACTATAAATATCTCCCCAGATGTCGAACATAAAAAATGTGATGAGGTGTACACTAGTCTACATTAAATTATAGTTAACTACTGTATACAAAACTGTGCGTGCGGCGCTGAAAAAGGAAGACATCTGGATCATTGGCTTACAAAATTTTGACTGAGCTGGTGAAAAAAGTGGCACCCATTTTTGAGTGCACCCACAAATACATGAGCACCCACTACAGGGCGACTAACTACTGAACTACTAACAACTTTACTCCAAAGACTAACTACTGTAGCTCGCTAACTACTAAATTTGATTTTGATTTAGTAAATATTTTGAAATGTTATAAAAATTTCAAAACCTTGGATCGGTACCAAATATACCCACTAAATACCAAAAATGAAAAATATCAAATAGTAATTCCCCTCCGAATATCCCAACATCCCATACCCTCCAAACAATTAAAAATAAATTTAAATTAGAAGATGTTAATTGAAGTGATAAAATATAAATAAAAATCTATTATAGAATAAATAATAGATAAATCATTAAAAACATATATAAGACTAGTAATTTTTTGAAACCCTCCCCAAACCCCAGACTTTTTTTTTCTCAACCCGTCCCTCCAAATAATATAAATAAATAGAATAAATAATTTAAAAAATAAAACAATTATAGGACCCGTTAAAATTTGAGGACCCTACCCAAAACCAGACTTTTTTCTCAACCACGGGTAAAAAAATATTTAAATAATAAATTATTAAAAATTGTTTAAAAATTAAATAAAATTTTAATTTTTCAAAATCCCAAACCAAACCCACCCAAACCCCTTTTTTCTCAACCCTTCAAAAAATACAAATAAATTCTTTAAAATAAATATTTAAAAATAAATTTAAAATTATTAAAAAATATACAAAAAAATAATAGAATTTGCCTATTATATAAAAATAGGCATAGAATGAAATGAAAAAGGAAAGAGTATCAGACAACTATGTTGTCGGTGAAACGCGAAAAATAAAAGAGAAAAATAAAAGGATTAGATTTATGGGAAAATTGGAGGCAAAAAGAAAAATTTGCATGTTGAGAGTAAATGTCTCAATAAGATTTGTTTAAAGAAAAGGCAAGTATTTTTGTCGGTAAAGAAAAGGGCTCAATAGCGCGAAAACAAAAAAGGGGAATAATATTTAATAATAAAAGAAGGGAAGTCCCAAAAGCTTTGGATGGACAAAAGAAAGAGCCTTATAGGTTTAGGTTTGAGGAAAACAAAAGAAGAGGTTTTGGTTGGAAGGTTGGATGGGGGAAGCAAAAGCTTTTGGTTAGTGGGGTTGGTGAGGGAAACCTTTTATTAGAGAGGGGAAGCAACAGCTTCTAAACCTTTCAGTTGGTGGGGAAGGGGCCGGGAGGGAACCGGTTTCACACCTTTTAATTTTGATTAATTAACTGACAGCCCCTTCTGCCCCCACGACACGGGGGTGGGACTAACTACTGAAAACAAATTGGTAAATATTTACTAAAAATTATTTTAGAAAATAAATTATTTTTTAAAGGTAAAGGTATTTTATTAAAAGACAATTTCGAGTCATATAAACTGTTTGTTGCATTAGAAGGTTGTTCTGTTGAAGCGAATTTTGGAAATGATTTGGAGATTAAACCATTTAAATATGATATTTCGAATCATTTAATTGTGACAGAATTTTATTAAAATTTTGTTTTTTATCTGCTTTTTATGAATTTTAAATATTTTTTTCGTTTGATAAATTTTTCCTTATTTGAACGATATTTTTTTGAATAATATTTTTTTACAACAAGCTTTATTATCTGTAAAATAAATTTCTATTTTTTGGTCCAAAAATTTTCTATTTTTTTTTGTACCAATCGACTTGGCTCGTTGAGAAGCTTCGAAATAGACAATAATTAGATTTTTAAAATTTTCGCCTAAAAAGTTTGAATTTAACATCTATATTCTTTTTTCTTTAAAAATCCATATTTCAGTCATGAACAATTTTGACGTTATTCGAATAAGTTATTCGAATAGAACGTCTACCCGGTTCGAAAACTGCAACCCTAATTCGAATCACATTCGAATGATATAAACTTTGCATATTTCAAAAATTTGCCTTTAGCCCAGACCAACTTTCATCAAAAAAATCTTGCTCGAACTTCGAAGTAAGAATAATAAGTCAAATTAAAAAATTTAAAAACAATTTTGGTATAGAATTTTTTTAGTGCTAGGAATAAAACAATAAAAGAATTATCAATCTTCATTTATGTACATCTGAAAAAGTTATGACAAAAACAATAGGGGCAGAAAATTTGATTAATAAAGAATTACTAAAAATTTAAAAAATTGATTATTTTACTGTTAAGAAATATACATAAATCAAATGAGTAAAATCAAAACAAATTAAATTCTCAATAAAATTCTTTGAGAACAAAATGTTTTGAAATTTCATACTTAAATGGTTTAGTTTGTAAATCATTTCCAAAATTAGCCTCAATGGAACAATTTTCAAGCCAAACATGTGGTTTGTATGAGTCGAAATTCTCCTTTAATAATATAGCCATACCTTAAAGAATAATCTTTTGTTAATAATTTTTAATTAAATATTTACCAATTTGTTCTCCATTCTGTGTGAAGAAAACATAAGGAAATTCATTTATTTTATTAGTTGGGGGATATACTAATCCGCAACCAAAAATATCTTTATTTTTCCAAGAAATATTGTCAAGTTCAAATTCCTCATTATTCTCGTCATAAATTGTAGCAAACTCAGCAGAAAATCTAATCCATTTACCTATATGTATTGCAAAATTATTGGGATGTACATTCTGTTTTTCCAAAATGTCCTTTAATATGCAGATCTAGATCAGGGATGCACGCAATTGAAAAAAATTTCCGCAAACGCAATCCGCAAGTAAAAAAACACTCAATTTTACTCAGTCCGCAATTGTGTGCATCTCTGATCTAGATAAACATAAAAGCCGATTTTTTTAATTTTTAAATGTCCTTTAGTTATCAAATATTGAATATAGATTTCATAACAATTTTAACCCAATCTAATTTTAGTATATAGAAACATCAAAAAATCTTTCTAAAATGGTGAAGGAAATTAGATGTTATAATGTAGCTGGAGATCTTATAATAAGTGAAAGAGCAGAAAATGTTAAGGAGGAAGTTAGATATAACAATTTAAAATCCAGAAAATATCAACTTTCAAATGAATACAATTCAGAAATGAAATTTTCCATTTCTAATAATGAAAGAGATGAGTTTTGGTCTGAATTTGAAGTTAAAAGAATTAATTGATAAATCCGGTTCCGGCTCCGGTTTACAAATTGGTTCCGGCCAAACCGGAACTTTTTTACACCCCTAAGGATTAGTTTTTTTTTAAAATATTAATAAAATACTCGTACTTTCATACTTGTAATAAAAAAAATCGAAAGAAATATGTTTATTTTCATTCAGTTCCCTTCTGCTGAGCCGGTGTTCGAGTGGTTAGGGTTTGGGCTTCACTCAAGGTGTTAATGATTTTAAGTTGGGTTCGCTTGCCAATCTTAGGACAATAAATATTCAAATTTTTCTTTTAAAAAATAACTCATTTTTATGAGTTTAACTTTGTTTTAAAAATTATTTTATTTTTACATGGAGTAATTACGGTTTTTTGGCCCTCTAAAATTCTTAAAATTTTTCGTATGACTAATAAATGATGAATTTTGCTGCTTACAGCCATCAGAAATTTTCAAAATTTTCGCCTGCGGCGCTGAAAAAGAAAGTTGAATGGTATAACGGATGACTTGGATGGATCAATGTGGATTTTGAGTTATATAGTGTGATATCAAGGGGCCTAATATCCTTCTTTACTTCCTTATCCCCATAAAACGTATATCGCTCCTTATTCCACTGATACCCCTTAAACCCATTACAATTCTGAATCCTTATATCGTGCGATATCAAACACTTGTACCACCAAATCCGTTCATACACCACTCTCTAACCCAAATATATCACTTATCGCCGACAAATTTTCGGTTCGGTTTTGGTTAATCAAAAGTCTCGGTTCGGTTCGGTTTCGGTTGGTGAACAGACAACCCTACTTAAACTACAAATTTTTTAAAATTTGCTAGCAAAAATTTTTTAAAAGTTCCGGTTCCGGTGAAACACTATTGTTTAAGCAAACTTTTTAAAAATTTAGGGACATCACTACGAAAATCCTAGTTTTCAACTTAAGAATTTAAATTATGAATATATGCATTTGCGTTCTCGACTCATGAAATCACAACTATCGCGTGCATTAACGTAAATGCAAATTCTTCGTTATATAGATATTTCTTTTATAAAATGCTTATTTACAAAATATTAAGATTAGACCAACCACATTAATATTTTCATAATTGATCCAAGCAAATTCATTGCGATCAACCCTAGACATTTCGTGCAAAAAACCTAATGCATGCATAATTTCGTGAATTATTGTTCCTTCCTATTTATTAAAAATAAAAGGCTCTATCTCAGGACATGCGTCCCATGAACTTTTATGCGTCCCATGAGAGTATATGCGTCCCATGAACTTTTATGCGTCCCATGAAAGTATATACGTCCCAAAAAAGATTGATTTTTTTGTAGATTGATTTGTAAAGATTAAAGATAATTTAGATAATGAATAGATAATAATTATAATAATTTAGATAATAAATATAATAATTATAAAGACAATTTTGTAAACATTTTTTAATTGTATTAATGAATGTAGCCTCCATTCGTTGTGTGTGAACTATTGGCTAATTCTTTTAAACCAGCTAATTCTTTTAAATTTAATCTAGACGTTTAATTTGAAATTTTAAAGAAAAATGATTGATTTACTAATTTAAAACAAAAAATACTTTATGATAAAGAGATATTCAAAAAATAAATACAACAAATAAGTGTATTTTATAAAAATTATTTTTCATTATTGAACTATCATACATAGTTTTACATAACATATTTAATGCCGTAAATGTTGAAATAATTATCCTCTCTAATAATTACTCACTATTTTTTCTACATTATCTTTAAAAATATTTTATTTGGGAAATACATTGTAAGAGAAGACCACTAAAGATCTGGAATTACCGTGGCTGTTGGGTTAAATAATTTTAAATAATTATTTAATCCGTTTGGCACAAGAAGGGGGGGGGGCATTTAAAATTATTCTTAACAAAATTTCACATCATATTGGGAGTATCGAAAGTATGCTTGGATAGATAAATACATTAAAAGTTGCTTGAATAAGTTGCTGGAATCCTTTAATTATTTTTTCCATCCAGCAATTTTTTTTAAATTTAATTTAGCGTTTCATTGCGATTTTAAAGAAAAATGATTGATTTACTAATTTAAAACAAAAAATACTTTATGATAAAGAGATATTTAAAAAATAAATAATTCAAATAAGTGTATTTTATTACAAAAATTATTTTTCATTATTGTACTATCATCGTTCTACATAAATGCTTAATACCGTAAATGTTGAAATAATTATCCTCTCTAATAATTACTCACTATTTTTTCTACACTATTTTTAAAAATATTTATTAAAAATGATTATCAATTTTAATAATAAAACAGTTTGAAGATCTATATAAAATAAATCAAGAGATCGAAATGATTTGTTGAAGATATCAGGGATTTTTTGGATTATAAAAGATATTGAGAGTTAAAAGGATTTAGTAGGTAGAAATAATGAAATTAATAAGTTTTAAAATAGATATTGAGGCATTCCCTCTATAATACTCGTGTTTTAATCAAAATAAATAATAAACGCAGCATTTTTATTTTAATTAAAATTACATTAAAATTGTTTCTCGTTAAATGCACAGTAACTGTGTTATATTTTATTGAAAGTGGATTGGGCAAGCTAATACTTGGGAAATTCATTGTGAACGAAGACCAATACAGAGCTGGAATTACCGTGGCTGTTGGGGACTACACCGCAAAATTGCATGTCAGGCTATCATGCGAGGTGTAACTTAATTTTGATTATGTAGGGCTAGTCCTAGACAAAAGGTAACGACACTTGCTGGGATCATTTTTGGGAGAGATATGCACCTATGTATACTACAGCTAAAATTTCCATAAAACCTTTCAATAAATTTGCTAAAAAATACACTTTTTATTTAATTAAAAATTCATATTTTATTTAACATTAGCTAACTATTATCTTATAGTTAGAGCTTTTATTATTTTACAAAAATTAAAAAATCCTTCTTAATAACAACAAGTAGCAATGTTTGGATTTTTTGATGACATTGAAGAAGAAGCTGGACATCTTGGGCAACGTGGATTTTTACATTTTTGCGTGCGAATGTTGTAGTTGTAGCATCTTT